AGCCGTTAGTGATGCTAAGGATGCTACGATGATAGTTATCATCCTTGTCATCATCTTTCTCATCATCTGATCATCACCTAGCATCATCTTATATCATGACAAGGATGATAACTGTCATCGTAGCATCCTTAGCATCACTAACGGCTGTGATGATAACGATCATCGCAGCATCCTTTGCATCACCAATGCTGCCTAATGAGAGATGACGACGACCATGATGAGAATGGGGGCGTGAGGATCGTTATCATCCGCGTCATGACAACTATCATCACAACATCCTCTGCATCAGTACTTGTTCCTTGATAACTATCATCATCGCATCCTTTGCGTTGCCAAGGATGTCTAACGTCCCTTTTGATTTCTATATATAGTAAGATATGAGATGATGCTAGGTGATGGTCAGATGATGATAAAGATGATGACAAGGGTGATAACTATCATCGTAGCATCCTTAGCATCACTAACGGCTGTGCTGATAACGATCCTCGCAGCATCCTCTGCATCACCAATGCTGCCTGATAAGAGATGACGACAACCATGATGATAATGATGATAAGGATAAGAGAATAAGAAAGAGATGATGATAAGGCTGATGATGATCACGATGACCGTGACGATAACATTTATCGTAGCTGCAGCTGCTGATGCTGATGAGGATGAAACTTTGGATATACTTATGCGCCAACTACCCTTCCCGTGCGCCTCCCCTTTTTAGAGAAAGGGTCGGCGGATCTTTTTCATATACGATTCAAAAGTCCCGTTAGACCCGATGGGAGATGCAGAGGGTGCGTAGTCATCATTATCATCATGACTGTTGGTGATGCAGAGGATGCACGACGATGGTTATCATCGATGATGATGACCGTGATGATGACGATGATGAGCGACGGCTATGATGAGGATCCTTATCTTTATGTTTTTCATATACGATTCACAAAAGTCCCGTTAGACCCGATTGGAGATGCAGAGGGTGCGTAGTCATCATTATCATGATGACTGTTGGTGATGCAGAGGATGCACGACGATGGTTATCATCGGTGATGATGACCGTGATGATGACGATGATGAGCGACGGCTATGATGAGGATCCTTACTATATTGGTTTGTTCCACTTAGGACCAACTTACCCTACTTATAAGTTACTTAACATCAACTTATGTTAAGTCGGTTATAAGTTACTTACGACCAACTTAGACCGAGGTTATAAGTAAGACCTAAGTAGGTTTCTTTTGGGTCGCTTTTCTGTGTTTAGAACATGCATAGCCATGCAGCCGAACAGAAAAGTGTCAAAACATAACGCGGGTCGGCGGCACTGGGCGGCAGCCCTTAAATAATAATTTTGCATTATGCATTCAGTTGATCCATACCCGAAAAGACAAAGTAGTTTTGGCGGAGGTCCAAGCTACCCATACATGACACGCCATATCGACCAATGCGCAGTTAGAACATCTCCAAACCTCTATCTCCTGCCTGTCCTGATGGCTTCCCTTTCATCTAAGGAAACAATTGACCAAATGCTCACTTGCCCAAAGGACCTGGAAATAAAAGGCTAAATGGACCAAAATGGGAAACCCAAAAGGTCAAAAGGTCGGCTTTGGGCAAGTCTAAGTGAGAATGGCCTGATCCCTGTGTCCATTCATGATTTTTGGGCACCATTTGAGCCCTAGGCATGGGCACCGGTCGATACGACGCGACTCTGAAACTAAACATGCACGCGGAGGTTTTGGACGCTCAAAATTTGAGACACCCAAAAAACAACCTATTTCGGGTTCCGCCGGGTTCCGCGGGGTTCTTTCGCATCCCCCTTCCCACGGGGCAGGGTTCCACCTGCTGACCCCAGGGATTACGACAAACTTCCAGGGGAATTACTATCTCCAAAAGGGGAACTCCTGGGCTTTCTTGAGTGGGGAACCCTGCGTCATCTTTCTGGGATGATTCTTACCCTGCATCCAAGGGGAAGCCCTGGGTCAAAAAGTGGACCCGACCCCCGCGCCACGCGGCTCGCGCTACCCGATCCAAACTTCTTGCCCAGGTTCAGCGCCCTGCTCGGGCAGCAGCTTTCGGGAGCTCCAGCGCAGCAGCCGTCGCAGGATCCAGGGCAGGTGCCGGTCGATGTCTGTGGCAACCTCTCCTGAAAATCTTCAGAACCGGGTGAGGTCTCAGGGTGCACTTTGAAATGTTTGCCGTGTTTCCACAGGTTCATCTTTTTCCGACATCCAGCACCTGAAACTTCCGCTAGCAGAGAACCCGTCGACAGGGAATTCTGAACCTAGGAAGTCAATGGGTTTTTCAGCCATCCAAAACAACCTTACTTGTGTCAGGGCAAACCCCCTTCTCCCCCTGACGGTAGTGGTTTTGGGGGTACGGAAATCATCTTGGAAGGAAAGACGCTCCCGCTACAAATGAGCATGGAAACCCAAATCCTCGAAAGGAGATTCCTCCGCAAGGTGTGTTTTTGGATTCCATGTTCAAGGAGCATTTCCGAACAACGTTCACACAACCAGTGCATATGTCAAAGCTCCAAGCTCTAAATTGGCCCATCGCCCGGCTACCTTCACATCACCAGCATGTCCCATTACACAGGCAGACTTGCCCGAAACAAGGCTTGGCAGGATCCATCTTGGCAGGCTTGTCCAAGCTTGTGGAAATTCTACAAATCAAAACATTGGCTCGGACACTGCTGTCCTTCCGTTGCAAAGTATGGCATCTGGAAAACTTGCATGTGCGACAAACACACGCAAAAGGTCCAAGATGCCAAGTTTAGCCCGGTCTGTCACTATAACCTCACTGCTGCCCATCCCGGACTTTGACCAGCCAATGGTCAGCAAGATGCGCCAGCCAAATTCGGGCTCCTCAAAGTCACCAGTTTTTTTGAGCATTTACGTAGTCTCAACATTATGGGCCCCAAAACTCGCACTTCAGCTTCCTGTTGGTTCCCGACAAGCAACGGATGATGTTGTATATCAGGGAATTGTGTTGTTGGTTATATTTTGCTTCTATGTGGCCCCCTGTCGGATTTCAACATTGAGATGTGCCTGAAAGTGCGTGTGTGTGTGTGTGGGTGGGTGTGTGTGTGCGTGTGTGCGTGTGTGCGTGTGTGTGTGTGGGTGGGTGTGTGTGTGTGTGTGTGCGTGCGTGCGTGCGTGCGTGTGTGCGTGTGTGCGTGTGTGGGCGTGTCTGCGTGTCTGCGTGTCTGCGTGTCTGCGTGTCTGCGTGTCTGCGTGTCTGCGTGTCTGCGTGTCGGCGTGTCGGCGTGTCGGCGTGTCGGCGTGTCGGCGTGTCGGCGTGTCGGCGTGTCGGCGTGTCGGCGTGTCGGCGTGTCTGTCGTGTCTGCGTGTCTGCGTGTCTGCGTGTCTGCGTGTCTGCGTGTCTGCGTGTCTGCGTGTCTGCGTGTCTGCGTGTCTGCGTGTCTGCGTGTCTGCGTGTCTGCGTGTCTGCGTGTCTGCGTGTCTGGGTGTCTGGGTGTCTGCGTGTCTGTGTGTCTGTGTGTCTGCGTGTCTGCGTGTCTGCGTGTCTGCGTGACTGTGTGTCTGCGTGTCTGCGTGTCTGCGTGTCTGTGTGTCTGTGTGTCTGTGTGTCTGTGTGCATGTGTGCGTGTGTGCGTGTGTGCGTGTGTGCGCGTCTGTGCGTCTGTGTGTCTGTGTGTCTGCGTGTCTGTGTGTCTGTGCGTCTGTGCGTCTGTGCGTCTGTGTGTGTGTGTCTGTGTGTCAGTGTGTCAGTGTGTCTGTGTGTCTGTGTGTCTGTGCGTCTGTGCGTCTGTGTGTCTGTGTGTCTGTGTGTCTGCGTGTCTGCGTGTCTGCGTGTCTGTGCGTCTGTGCGCCTGTGTGTTTGCGTGTCTGCGTGTCTGTGTGTGTGTGTGTGCGTGTCTGCGTGTCTATGTGTCTGCGCGTCTGTGTGTCTGTGTGTCTGTGTGTCTGCGTGTCTGCGTGTCTGTGCGTCTGTGCGTCTGTGTGTCTGTGTGTCTGTGTGTCTGTGTGTCTGTGTGTCTGTGTGTCTGTGTGTCTGTGTGTCTGTGCGTCTGTGCGTCTGTGCGTCTGTGTGTCTGTGTGTCTGTGTGTCTGCGTGTCTGCGTGTCTGCGTGTCTGTGTGTCTGTGCGTCTGTGCGTCTCTGTGTCTGTGTGTCTGTGTGTCTGTGTGTGTGTGTGTGTGTGCGTCTGTGCGTTTGTGTGCGCATGTTTGCGTGTTGAGGGTACCCCTTTTGTTGGGTGCATGGGTTTAAAGGCAATGGACAACCGTCATCTGTTGGGTTTCCCCGAATTATTTTGACATATACCCGTATCTATCTATCGAAATTGGTGTCGGCCCTCGTGTTTTTAACCCCAAAATCCTGGGTCAGCAGTTTCCGTCGACTCCTGGCAGCCTTGACAACTTGAACCCAAAGGATACCGTCAACCAGTTGCTTGGTCCGAGTCCAACGGATTCCCAGGCCTCCATATGCTTAAGTCCCCTGGAACAAAAAAAACAAATAATAATAATAATAATAAATATAATGAAAAAAGCAAATATAAGCAAACATAATAATAAATAATCCAGTAGTGATAGATTCCCCTCTCAAACTAACAGGGGAACATACCAGAAACATATTCATTTCGCCAAATGGAAGCAGGCGTCCGGCACGTCCGGCATTCCCTGCCTGGAGTGCAGACCACCGCCTCTACCCCTTGCCGGGCCAGAGAGGCGGCGAAGAGTCGGTTGCAGTACTTGGAGGTGATGTAGTTCCCCAGGAAGCTGTAGCAGCCTCACGTGAGCCACCAAGCATGGGGATTCAATTGGGTCCCGGACCCTGTGGACATCAGATGTGGATTCATGTCCAGCAACCACTTCTAGTCAAAGGAACTCGGGATCCTGTCCGCGCTTTCTGGTGGTGAAACCCCCTCTTCCTTGTTGATTTAAAACATGGTTCTCACATGAGTGGTCAGAATGTGTCTTTGCATCTGTTAAAGGACATCTGCCGACATGTTGACCGAACCTCAAACTGTGGCTCAAGAATTCAGCTGCCCTCCAACCCCACTTTGGCAAAAACGAGGAAAAACTCGGATCCCGGGGCGGCTGTTTTAGAGGGAACCTTTCTAAAAACGAAAAAGGAACCTTTCTCAACGTTGGGCTTGCTTTGGAGCAACGGTGAACGCTCCTTTTTGTGGGTGGCCGTGGCCACGGGTATGCTTGCGATCCAACATCTTGAGGGTCCACCAGTCGTATCCCCAAGTAGGGCGTTCTGACCACGGAACACTTGCTGTGGCTGAAAATTCACCGAAATGGAAGAAATGCGACTGCCTCACGTTGCGGAGAGTTCGGGTTGTTGAGACACAAAGCATTTCAGGCTAACCCGTCATATTGCAAGGACACCAGACCCCTTTCAGATGATGCCAGATTTTTCAAAACAGCCAAACTGGATTAATGAAAACGGGGTTTTGTATCCCCGTTCTTGCATTAGTGGGAACCACCTTTTAAATGCACTCTTTGATTCTTGGGGCCTCTGAGGCAGTACACGAAAGGTTTCAAGGGTACCTGCAGCCTTGCATGGACCGCCAATGGATGCAGGGGAACGAACAAGTTGCGGCTAAAGCTCTTGCAAACAGGGTCCCCAATGTATCCCCTTAAACATCATCCCTGCTAAGGAAAACTCGCCCTGAAGCAGGTGATTGTTTAAAACGGAGGGCTACTTTTTGGAGATGTTTCCCGCTTTTTCTTTAGCATTATTTCCTGGATTTTGCCTTATTTGGCTTCTTAGCTTTTTAGCTTTTTGGCCTTTCTCTTCTTGGAGTCTAGGCTTTTTGGCTTTTGGCTTGTGGCTTTTGTTGTTTCTTGGACTTTTGGTGGCTTTTGTTGGCTTTTGGTTTTGTGGCTTTACTTGTTGTGGCCTTTGTAGCGCTGGCTTGCCGCATCCTCAGTATCATCAGTAACACTCCAGCATCACCGGCTTTTCGCTTTTGGATTTTTTTTATTTTTGGTTTGTGGCTTCTTACCGCCCATGTTTCTGTAAATAGAAAGGCTGCCCCCCCCCCCCCCAACCCCCACGCTCCTTTGTAGGGCCGTTGTTTGGCTTTGTGATGATCTCAAAAGGCAAACCTAAAACCCTGTCTGAACCCCAATGAATCCAACGCCTATACTAACCCCAGGGTTTGGCCCAACCCGAAGCCAACCCTAAACCACCACTAAACCCACCCTAAACCGCCACTAAAACTAGAGCCAACTGAGCCAACCTTAAAACCAAACCTAAGCCAACCCTAAAGAAACCCTAAAGAAACCCTACAGTAACCTTAAACCACCAAGACTCCCTAAAGAAACCCCTAAACAAACTCACTCTAAACCAGCAATAGACTACCCCTAAACCAACTCTAAACCTACCCTAAACTCACCCTAAACCCCAACCACCCTAAGCCAATCCCGAAACCCACCCTAACCCCACCCAAACCAACCCTAAGTCCGCGCTAAACAAGCACAACACCATCGCTAATAAGCCCACAATAAACCCCCTAAGCAAACCCTATGCCAACCCTAACCCCCTACTAAACTCACCCCACAACCAATCCCTAACCCCCCCGTAAACCAGCACTAAACTCAAATTGAACGCGTTCTAAATCCACCCTAGACAACCCTTAGCAAACCCAAAGCAAACCCGACACCAACCGCCCGATATTCCCCCCCCCCTCGCCAAAACAAACCAAACCATCCCTAAGCCACCCCCAAACCACCCTAAGCCCACCTAAACACAACCACAGCCTAAACCAGCCCTAAACCCACGCTAAAACCAACCCCAAGAAGCCCACCATAAACCAGCTCTAAACTATCCCAGTACCTAAAGCGCAGTCACCCCCAAACTTGCTCTAAACAAGCCTGGAACCCACCCTGAACCAACCCTTGCCAACCTCGAACCCGCCCTAAACCCAGCGTGACAAACCCAACTCGTGATGCTGAGGATGTTGAAAAGGATGCTGCCAAGCGAAAAGGATGCCGGGGATGTTGACAGCGCTGGTGCAAAACGAGTCAAACCACAGCAGAACCAAGGGAGATCGCACCTGCCAGTTCCAAGACAGGAACAAATCCCAAGACAAAACAAATCGGGACCCTTTTAAAACTACCAAAAGGGAGGCCTGAAATTGCAGAACCGCTGAGGAGCCTTCAGATGTTCTCCAAAGATCCTTACCGCCTCTTTGCCGAGTGGTTCTGACCAAAGATCAGGAATTGGGTGCTCCAAGGCTGCAAGGAGAAGGGCAAACCATTGGCAGGGTATCTGTCCAAAACACACCACCTACGGATTAATAACGGACCCCTCTCCCCCTGTCGTCCCCCTCCCCCCCCGCAAAAAGCAGAGATGCTGTGCTTCGGCCATACTTTAAAGGGATGAGCAGAAAGAACCCAAAACCCAGTCACTTTGAGTTCCACCAAGATGGCTATATTCTATGAGCCTTGCTCTCACCATCATAGCCCCAAGAAAGCAGGTAGCAGAACTACCGACTAAAACGGTCATGGGTTTTGGGCGCTCGTTCTTTTTCTCACTGGAAGCAAGTTCCGCCGAGAAACTGGGGTTGTTGATGCCCTGCAAAGTCGCTGAATCCAAATGGAGCCACCGCCTCATTGGATCGATGCCGAGGTGGCACACTTCCACGGGAAATTTAAAGGAGACTAAACCAACATGGGTGGGACTTCTGCCATCTACTTTCAGCCCACTGTACCTATGAATTTTCGGCCGCGGACTTCTCCTATTTGAAAATGGTGTCCGCTCCCTTTTTTCTGCAGTCAATTTTAGTAGGGGTCCCCCAAAAAAGGGTACAGTAAAAGGGCACTACTGGGGGACCTAGATGACTGTAATTTGTAGACCTGAATCTAGAATCCCGAAGTGAGCTACCTTGGGACTCGCAGTCTCAAACCAAAAAGCTGTGTGAGTCGCTATGTCCAAGTGCTCTGACTGCGAAAATATGCCCCCCCTCCCCCGCATTTGCCCAGACTTGAATCCCATACCTGGATGCTCACCCCACTTTGTAGCTTTCTATACCATGCAATCTGGAGCAAGTGGGGGTGGCTCCCGCCTGACCATAGCTATAACCTGCTTCCCTTGGGCAAGGCAACTGCACGTGACCTCGGTTGCTTTCTGCTCCCCTGCTAGGAGTGACTAACTTTTAGTGGCTCAATACGGAAAACACATTGGTTGGCAAAAAGTTCTTCAGTCCTCACGTTTCCCTTGGCAAAATGCACCTGCACGTGACCATCTTGCCGAGGCGCTTGCCTAGTTTCTGCAGGTCAGAAGACACCATGACGACACGCAAAGACGAAGAAGACTTCGCCATCTGCGTGACCAAGTGGAAGTGAGCCAGGTGGTTTCTGGGCGAAAGGGCCATGGGTCAAAAGCCAAATCGGTTAGCGCCCAGTGAACATCCGATTCGATTCAACCACAAGAATCGGTTCTAAGATAGGTGGGGAATTCACCAATCCCCCAAATTGGTACCATTGGTTTTGACCCACAGCCACGTGGCTACGAATGGACTTCATGATGTTAGGAAACCCAACCGTTTGTTTCGGTCATTTGCTGCATGTCCCCGCAGGGAACCAGTATTTTTCAATAACGTAGTGAAGCACCAAGAGATCTATGACGACAGGGTTCCAATGATCAATGACACGGAGAGCAGCTTATCCTTGAAAAGATCCTTAAGAGATCTGACCTCGATGCTTCTAACGAGACTTATGACGTTGGATGTGGAACGGGCCTCATAGGTAGCTTGCTCCATGAGCTGAGCTTTTGACTGATTAAAGGAATGGATCGCTCCTGGCACTTAGTATCAGAAGCCCTGCGACGTGGTCATTAACCAAGCTGCGAGTCCATTTACTTTACGAGAAGGTGTTTCCGAAGGAGCGGCTGGGATGATCTCGTGACTCATGGTGTTTGGGTGCCAAACCACATGCCTGCTAAAGCAGTCACAGCTTGTGTGGACGCATTGAAAGAGCGAGGCCATGCGCCTGGCGACAACTCAATCACACTTCTCACTGTAGTTGCTCACAGTAAACACTTCCGGCTTTCAGTAATGTGAATCTGAAATCTTTAGAGTCACATTTGACATCCATTTTGGTCCCGCGACCCCGCGCTCAGGTATGTGCCATGATTCGGCACTTAAGGTTCTCCAGACTTCTTCTTGAAAGGGAACAAGCCATATGGTGAATTGGACATCGCAAGTGGAGCCAAATAAGCCAAGCATTTGGACTGTGCCATACAGGAAAGGGCTTGGCCTTTGACCATCCAAGATTGCTTCAATGCTGTTCATTGGTTTGTTTTATGGAATCCTACGTTGGCTCCATTTCAAAATGTGACTGTCCAAAATTTAGTCTTCTGCATGAAATGGTCCACATTGATAGCATGTCTCTGCATGTCTTGAAAGAAAAAACCAGGTGTCTTCCATTCCGCTTCCCTTCAAAGGCCTCAAGGGCCTGGCAGCCAATCCATTGATCCAAATGCCGGCGATCAGAGTTGCAACTCTAAACCAACCGCCAGAAGCAAAAGCACCTTTGGGAAGTGCAAAAGCAAACCCGGTTGCAAGGTCCCCTACTCCCAAACTACTAAACAAAATATGCAGGCGACACGTCAACCATCGCCGAGGTGATTTCTACCCATTTTCCCCAAAAGGAGCCCAAGCATCAAATCGCTGGTGGCGCATCCAATTGTTTCGAGGGCGGGGGACAAATGGATCTAAAAACCATGCCAAGAAATGGCCCGCTCCAAATGGTGAGCCCCAAGAATGGATGGCTTTACTTCGGCTGTACAGCAACCCCAAAACGGGTAACAGCCAAACAAACACACCCATTTGGTGCGAATAATTGGGCCTGCAATGAGTACACGGTAATCCTGGTGGTAGACATGATCGACATTTTGAGACTTCTGGAGTATCGGGAGGCCAAATCGAAGTGCCAAGCGGCACTGCCCACTGACTTTCATATCCTGGGCAAGTGCGAACACTGAGCGCTGAAATGGAGGCTCCAGCTGGCAACAGATTCAAGGCATCCAACAAGGGGCTTCCTGTTCTCAACCATAGGGCCATTCCCTTACCCCTTGGTTGGTCGCCATTTAGCAAGGCATGCAACGAGGGTGCCCTGTTCTCATAGTGGCCCATGTAATTCTGCGAATGTCGGAGCTTACAAAGCCAGCGAGCCACAAGCTCTGGCAACTTGCATGGCACTCTTGCTGCCAGTTCTACACACCTCATCACCTTCAGCAGCCCAAAAGGAGACGTTCCACACCAAGATGAAAAGAGAACTGAAATGCCTTCGACATATCTAAGCAAATACATATGGTACAAGCTAACGGCAAACTACTGGACCGTGGAAGGGCCTTGCCATGTATGCTTGACACTGTCCAAGAAATACCTGGCAGGTGTTGTTCTTGAACGGTAGTTTCATGCTGCCAAGACTATGGCAGCTTGACCGTTCGTCACCCAGACCTCCAGCCAGGAACAAAAAAGAGAAGGGGCTCCTTTTTTGGCTGGTTGATGTTAAAAACGGGAAACTCTCCGACAACTTGTTGCTGGCTGATTTAAGGAGAACGCCCTCCAACCAAACGAGACAAAAATAAGCAACCCACACCGTATGTCTTTTTCTTTGTACTGTTTTTGGGGTTGCTTGCGAAGGCAGCTCTAAACGGAAACCATCCACTTGGGCCGAGTTGCCATCCCGTGAGGCGGTCCACCGCGGGAGCGTCGCAATGCCGGCGCAGCAAATGATCACCTTCAGGATCCCGTTTAGTGGCCAAAGAGAACCTTCCATTTGCTTGAGCCCCCTGGAAAAAAATCCAGTAGTCATAGATTCCCCTTTTAAACCCAACAGGGGAAACAAACAAAATATTCATTTCAGCAAATGGAAGGAACCCCTTGTTGGGTTGACCCCAAGTTTGGAGCATTTCATGGGAGTTCGGTTGGTGGAAGAAGGAAACCATTTTGGTTGACCAAACAAACAACAAATGGGGATCACGCGTGCACGACATTTTCATGCAATAGTTGAGGCAGGGATGTTTTGAGTATTGAGCCACCAGAAGGGAATGTACAGGGACCTCCCTACTTACCATGCCAGTGTTGTCCTGAACATGGCAAAAAAAAAAAAACAAACAATAAACATGGGTTGGTACCGAAAACCAGAAGGCAAACCAACCATCTGTTTTGCATCTTTAAAAGCACACCACCAGGAAAACCCGAGGCCAACCCACTTTTGGCACCTCGGCCAACCATCTGAGGGCACCTTTAAGGCAAACCAAAAGGAAAACCTTTGGTCAAAACATGTTTGGTACCTCGGCATCTCCGCGGCTCCAGGGTTTCTTGACCCAAGGCACATCCGGCGGCGCGGTGAACGTGGCCACGAGATCGTCCACCTCTTTGAGGCTGCTGAGGTCAGCCACCGCCGCGCAGCCTGCAGCTTCAGCACGTCCCATTGGTCTCACAATCCAAACAAACAGGTTGGCACACCAATAGCTAGGTCCAGATTTGAGAGGTTAGAATAAGTTGGTACCGTTTCTTCGTTCGGTTTTGTCGATTTTAGTAGGGGAACCGAATCTCCCAACCGAAAAAGACATGGGTGAGAAAGGGCACCAATTGCTGGACCTCGTATCCCTTGTGCCGAACCCTTTAGTAACTCATAAGTGGCTCTGAGTGTCCCCATGGTTTCTGCCGGTCTTCCAATCCACCAAGCCCAGCGCCACAAACCTCTCCTCCCCGATTTGGGGAGAAACACGGGTGAATGTCTTTTTCTTGGTACCCCATGTTGATATGTTTGGCGGCTTTAGGGGAAAACCAACAGGAAAACCCCAAAATCCGTTTGGGGGGGTCCTAAAACAGACGAGCCACCTTGGAGGAACACCCACAGGAAAACCGAACAAAAAACGGACCAATGAGCCACCCACGCCCCTTGTCCCAAGCATCCAAGCGGCACTTCTGGCGCTGCGCCTTTGGTAGTCTCGCAACCACCTCCGCCACCCGCTCCTTGCCTCAGAGTCGGAGTCTCGGGCGAGTCAACCGAGGGGCCAGCCCAAGGTTCCCTTGGCTTGTGAGTTGGGTGTTTGGGGTTGGTTGGGCTCGGCACCAAGAACAAACATATACCCTCTCACCAATGCCAGGTTCCATGTTATTTGGTGGCAGAGTAGGTTGGTTGAAGGATCCAACTGCCCGCACTTGTTCTGAAGCATGGCAGGCAGGTTGCAGCCAAGGGAGCTAACCCATATTTCCCCAACCAGGCGCCCAAGAAGCAAACCGAAGGGCCCAAAGGTCGGTCGCCAGGTTGTTCAGAGTCAGTCATGTTCAACTCACGTTGAGTAAGCAGGTGATCTCACCGTGGCTATAGTTTAGGCAACTGGGTTAGTTCCCGTATAACAAGGGCTACGGCCTAACCCAAAGAACATGTGATGCGTCAGGTGTTTGCACGACCTGTAAAAACATCGACCATGCGCCGAAGCTGCTGTCAGTTCTGCAGCGCCGCTTTTTTCAGGACGGGTGCTGAGGAATGCAGAAATAGGCCTATTAGAGGGATGACTCACACAGAGGCCAATCATATTATTACTCAGAGAGATGCGCAAAGAGATTCCTCCATGTCACACTTAAGACCTGCCCCAAACTAGCTGCCAACCCGTCAATCTCCCTGAGACAGCTGGCTTTCTCGCTGCCAGATTCGTCTGCGCAAACTCTCATGACATGCCTCCGCGGCATTTCTCTGCGTAACCTCGCTGCGGCGCTCCCGTGTGCAGACACACACACACACACACATGGTCTCTCCGAGTCTCTGCTTCTATGACATTAATTTGTGAATCTTGTCTGCGTGTCTGCGGAATATGTCTTGACGCAATCCCCCCTGTTTGGGCAACATGTCTCTGTGACACCGTGGTCTCTCGTGCAATCTCTTGGCTCCGGCTCTCTGTGCAATCTCTCAGTCGATCTTGCGAGCATAACCCTTTACTCTGCGAGAAACCGAAACAAGACGAAGGCATTCTCCGACCTCAGCGTTGAAAACCTCAGGGCCTCTCACTCAGGTGGCTCAGGTGGCTTCCCGGAAGTGGGAAAAACCAAAGAAAAAAACGACGACCCGCTCAAGGAAAGCCAGCGCGACACAAAGAATCTCCATGATTGGAGGGAGACTGGGTCCCGACAAAGCTGCCTTGGCTTTGCCTCCAAGGCAACCTTGCAGGGTAAAATAGCTTCAAAAGAGATCCCAGAAAGGGTGACCCAGGAAGCCTTCCGCACAAATCGTTGCATCCGCGTTGCAGCGGCCGTGGAGGTACAACTTCTTCACCGGGCCTCGGGTCAAGGCTCTCTTTCCGATTCCTGCTCCGGTTTCCAGCCTGGAAACGGAGTCGTGTCTTAAACCAGGTGCCCAAAAGCCCCTTTTAGAAGAGAAGCTTGGTCCCCAAAGGAACTCGGGATCCGATCCGATGCCAAGGTTTTGCAATGGCTTCGCCGCTCTGAGGTTTGAAACATATCTCTCACCGGAAGAAAAGACGCCAATCTGAACGAGTGCTACTCAATGAGGTCTGTAAAACAAACACCAACCTGGGCAATTGAATTGACATTCATAATTTGCCCTCCAAATCGTCATTTCAAGGGACTCGCCCGCCCCAGAATCCCTCGGAATGCACCACTTCAAGGGAACAGAAAGGCCGCAGGGTTGCTCCAAACAGCCTTTTGGTAGATCCGATACCTCAGCTGTTTCCACCAACCCGATCATGGCATGTGTTTGAGTATGGCCCATATTTGGGGAAGCTCTGAAAGTGACAAATGATGTCAGCAAGTATTGCTTCACATATCTTGGTGGAATTTGATGATACATCTTTGAGGGTTAATCTGGCCACCACGGCGCCGCCATTTGAGACCTCGACTAAACCTGGGCCAATCAGGGAAAAGCCAAAGCTGAGAACACAGTACATCTAGCTAATTTGCTTTGATATTCAACCCGCTTGGTAAGTAGACTCAGTAGACTATGGGTTTGTCCAGTTGCCAAAGTTATTGCCATGGCGAGATCACTTGAAGCGGGAGGAACATCCGACTGCCATATGTGCGGTGGTCATAAAACTCTTCTTGTGGGTCATGGTCGTGGTGTCTTTTTGAAGCCCTTGGTTTTGAAGGGAAACCAAAAGGCCACAAAACCCACTTTTGGGGCTGCCCCAAAATGCCAAACCCAAGGAAGCCGCTTTCACCTCCATTTGCTTAAGTCCCCCGGGAAAAAAAGAAGAATCTGTGTTTTTCCAGTAGTGATAGACTCCCTTTTGAAACCAACAGGGGAAAATAATAAGCTCAGGTGATATCCCCAACAGCATGCGGCGCTCTCACCACCCCGCAGCCCTCGCAGAACCTCGTGGAACCCTCGTGAAACCCTGGTGGAACCCTTGTAGAACCTTACCTCAGGGCCGCCCCGGACCCCGGAGCCTATCTGGGCTGAGACCCCAAAGCTTTCAGCTGTTGGGGAACAAAAAAACACATCAGATCGGGTGATATCCCGAACAGCATGCGGTGTTCTTTTTAGTGCTTGCACCACTCGCAGAACCTCGTCAAACCCTTGTGGAACCCCTTGGAGCTTAGAAACCAACGTTTTGAGGCCACCTTCTTTGAAGCCGCTTTGGTCAAAAAAACGGCTGATAGGTTCCCTTTAAAACCAAGAAGAAAACACATATATACATTAATATATATATATATATACATATATATATATATATACATATATATATATATACATTAATATATATATATATATATATATATATTCATTTCAGCAAAATGGAAGGCAACCAGAAAAACCGGCGACCACAGCTGCGGCCGAAGAGCATTCCAGCAGCGCCAAGGCCAGTGCCAGTCCGATGCCGTTGCATGCCCCGGTGATCAGAACCTGAGACGCGAGTCCCTCACCCAGGTGATTTTTCTGGGGGGACTGTGGAGACTCGGATTGGGTGGTTTGGATTGGTTTGGAATCGGATTTGAACGGTTTTTTTTGCTTGTGGAGGAGGTACCCCTTAGTAATTGGTGGTTTGGAGTCTCCTTCTGACCCGTGAAAAGAATGGGGTCATTACCCAACATTAGGGGGTTATGACCCCTTTTTCTAGGTGGTATGGCGAGAAAAATTGGTGGTTTGGATTGGTTTGGATTTGAACGGGTCCCTGCTTGGAGAGCGCACGATGGGAAACCACTCCGTTTCACCACCAAGCACCGGGCACCAAAGCACCAAACAACTAGGGAAGCTTCCGTGGATTGGCCAAGCGCACTCTGTGGATTGGCAGAAAAGTAGTTCTTTGCTCCAGAACTGGTTCTTTCATGGTCAAAAGCCGGGTTCGTTTACTGTAGGGTCCTGAAAGCATCCTGTGGGTCACTTCACAAATCCCTGAGGATCCAAATCCTTCTACAGCAGGTGGTTGTTGGACGCATCCTTTAAGAAACCCTGCAAAGGGGTGTTGGATTATAGGGAAGCCACCGAGAACCCTTTCAGTTTGGTGGTGCATTGAGACAAATCCGGTAGCCTATAGATTTCGGAGTTCCTTTGTCTCCCAAGGGAAGCTCATCTTGAAGTGGCCCAAAATGTGCTGTCTAAGGGCCAAAGGGACCCTTTCGGCGCACACGGAAAAAGCCCGACTCTTGCTCCCTGCAATTTTGAGGAAGCCTTGAAATTAATGGATTCAGAGGAATTTACTTGGGGTTGAGACATATCACAATTCGCGGAAGATTCGCACAACTTCTATGACATGTGTCAGCTCCATCACAAGTACAAACTCCAGAGCCTCCACAATTTTGTGGAATGCAGTTGCCAGCAGAATACTTAAGTGTAGTTTTTTGGGGATTCCCAACATCGAAAACAAACAAATCGGAATTCCTCACAAATTTCTTTCCGACCAACCATGTTATCCCATGTTCCCATTTAGACTTACCCCAGGTAAAATCTAAGTAGCACGCTTGAACATTTCAGCCACATTCAATATTCATTGTGTTCCCAACTCATGTGGGAATTTGGTGCGCAACATGTTTCCCTAATGGTAGTGGTGACTGTACCCATTACCATGAACGTTGGCCCAAATCTGGGGTACGCCAAACAAGTACGTTCTTCAGCTTCAGTTTCAACGAGACCTCCAGGGACCCTCAAGGCACCAAGCTGTGGGGTTCTTCAGAAAAATACCCAGAAAGTGTCAACTGGTAGACCCCCTAGGGAGGGAAACCAAATGGAGCAACGCACCTTCCGGTGAATTTTGAGACCCGTGGGAATGAACCCCTGTCAAACCCACGTGGGTCATCCCCACGTTGTGACTTTCGAATCCATGACAGAAACTGGCCCAGTCGAATAATCCTGACCCCCCGTGTTGTCGATGTTTTTTCGGGAAACCCGCCCAAAAAGGGAAACACATGTACTGGGTACCGGGAATTTGGAGAACCCCCCTGAGGCAATGCCTCCCCATCCATCCCAACAGGTCTGGTGTTTTTGTCCATGCACAGTAAATGCCACAATATGGGTAGGAGTTTTAACATGGAACCACGCCGGACCCCGAATCTCCCTGTTAAACTTCATGCCCAAATGCATGAAAGCGTCTGAGTTTGATACATGGATGCGTCCGTGTTGGCACCTTTTGTGGGCTTGCAGAGACAAACCAAAAGCAAACCGCCCTGTTTCGAGGGTTCCATCAATTCCGTCTGCCTACCGTTTTTGGTAAGGGAAACCACAAGGAAAACTGAGGGCATGTTCTTCGCTTCAGCCCCCTGGAAAAACACAAATATGTCCCGTAGTGATCGATTACCGTTGAGACCCAGGGAATATACACAACTATCCTTATAAGCACATGAAAGCTTTTGGGGTCCCCAAAAGTTTCCAAGTCTCTCTTTGGCTGCCGTTGTTTTTTCGGCAAAGAGGCACCACCATGGAACATTCTGAGGCCATGTTTAAAGGTCCAACCTGAGAGAGCCGCGCCCGATTTGATGCCCCCTGCCTCAACGGGGAGCGGGGGGTGCCCCAATTCCATTTATCCAGTCTTCCCCATAAAATGAAAAACGGAACCATAATATCCAGTCTTCCCCAAGGGAAAACAGAACCACTGGAGATCTCCAAAAATACCCCGTCCCCCAGTCCGCCTCCTTGCCGCTGAGCGCATACTTTGTCGCCGCCAGCACCTCCCCCGCCGTGGGCACCGCGGCGCGGGGAAGCCGCAGGTAACGCCAAGCCACCGCCTGAGCGGAAAAAAAAACATGCGTGCACGCCACCAAAACCCACTGTGCCCGCCCAAAACCAATCCGACAAAGGGCAAAACTGAGGGGTATGTGCCCCTGCAAAACCAACCTGAGAAGGGTACTGTTCAAAAAACACAGAAAAGAAGAAGCCCCAAAAAGACCTCAAAATAGAGATTTGGACCCCAAAATAGATGTTGTCCGGTTGCTTTCCTTTTAAAACCAACCTGAAATGGGCACCCTCAAAAAGAAGACACGGACCCATATTTGATCCCTTGGTCCATACTTGTTGAACCTCTAAATGTCAAAGCAATCATGTCAAAGAGCTGCCTCATAGCAAGCAGGTTAAAGCTGTTGCAACGCCCCAAGACCCGAGCAGACTTTTGGTGGTTGTCAGGGTTTTTGTAGGTCTGACTAATTATAAGCTCCATGAAACTTAGGAAGTATGTGGCTGGGTGGCTGGCTGGCTGGCTGGCTGGCTGGCTGGCTGGCTGGGTGGGTGGGTGGGTGGGTGGCTGGCTGTGTGGGTGGGGTGGGTGGGGTGGGTGGGTGGGGTGGGTGGGTGGGTGGGTGGGGGTAGCTGGGTGGCTGAGTGGCTAGGTGGCTGAGTGGGTGGGTGGGTGGGTGGCTGGGCGGGTGGGTGGGTGGCTGGGGGGCTGGATGCCTTTGTGTTCTCAGGGATGTTCAAGGGAAACCAAAAGGGAGGCCACCATTTTGTCGGATCCCCCGATTTTGACACCTACGCAACTGGGGGAAGCCTCAAAAAGAATTGTCTCCCGTTAACGTCTTCCATTTTGTTGGGAGGTGGGATGTCTTCAAACGCCGCGAAGCACATGTGCGGGTTCTCCGAAAACAATAATTTTCATTTGCTTAAGCCCCCTGGAAAAAACATATTTCTAGTAGTCATAGCTTCCCTTGAAAACCAACAGGGACAATTCAAAAAAACAAAAAACTCAAGCAAATGGAAGAGACAGGTTCCCATTTTTTGGTGGGTGAGTAATTTTCCGTTTCAGCCCTTGGGGCTGAAAAACCAAAGTTTTCAGGCTACCTTCTTTGGCTGATGGGTCAAAAGGTCAGACTTACGTCTGGCAACGGTGCGCCTGCGGCTAGTTTTTTGTATCCCGGCTTCCAGAAACTGCCCATGTATATCAATATACATGGCACACGTGTGTGTCTGTGTGTACAGGCATGTGCAAGGGTTTGGAAGCAGCAGGTGAGTCCTTTGGCACCTGAACTCAAACTACCCCATGAGTGCGTTGTCAAAGCCCAAAAAGTAGAGCAACAATCCCCGTGACTTGAACCCCCGAAAGAGAACCAAAATGACCGGAGTCATAGACATGGGCAGCTCAGGTCGAAAGACCAGACTTCGCTGCCGTACCGCTTAGGCTGATAAAACCGCTTGGCAAGATCATCCATAGGTCCAGGTGATTTCTCGCAGGGGCTCGTGGGCTGACCCAATGAAACCACGGCCGATGCGTAGCGGTGATTGAACACAGGACCATGCAGTGAGCTATAGGGGCTTCTGGGCTTCTTACGCAGTGACACCGGTAAACAAAGGGAGCCTGTTAGGGTCCCCAGGCCACCCACAAACGGATTGAAAAAGCGTGCAATCCACTGAAAATGAGTTCACACATTCTTGGTTGCTGTTGACCCCCTTGCAAAAAGTTTATTTTTTGTTGGGGTTTAGTGGAAAACAAACACCTTGATTTCCCAAAAAGTCATGTAAAGTCTAAAGATCCAACCCAATAGCAGTCAAGCATTCAAGTTCTCTCTGAGGAGCAAGGGCAGCCACAGTGCCCGCCACTTTCCATGGCTCAACCGCCAACATGGACATGGCACCCGCTGTGCAAAGTGTGGCGCTGGAAAGTGGGGTGTACTCGGGTGGCGTTTCTCTCCCCGGTAGGTTTGGGGTGACAATCGCCATTGAAATGTTTGGCAAAGACTGCAGGGAACCCAAAACTGGCAGGCTGGCAAAGGCTTGGCATAGCTTGAGATGTCCTTGTTGCAGGCACCGAACGGTCTGCTGCGCTCTTTGTTGGTGGCTAGTTGTGTCAAACATCGAAGCTGGGTGCCAAAGCAAAAGCGGCCAATGCCGCTTTCCTCGGCGTGCTCCCGAACCCATCCGTAAAGCCGATGATTTGGCTCCAAGAACGCCCAACGCCATCTCATCATGTGGAATGCTCGAAAGGATGTCAACAGGGATCCTTACATTATACACCTGAACATGGCCTTGTAAATGGTGGTTTCCCCTTATTTTGGTGGAAAAAAGGCCATGTTTCAAATGGTTGCAAAATGAAGATCTTTTAAGGAGCCCTGGTCAAGCAAGGCACTTTTCAGCGAACCCCATGGAGACTGATCCACTTGGTGAGTCCGTGGTATTTTTCTCGTGCCGCGTTCAAACGAAAATGAGAAACTTCCATTTGCCCCCTGTAAAAAACAAAAAATATGTCCAGTAGTCATAAATTCCCTTTAAAACCAACAGGGGAAAATAAACACTATTCATTTCAGCAAATAAAAGTAAAAGGACACCCTTGTTGGGTTGACCCATAGGGGGCATGTCATGTGATTTCGGTTGGTGGAAAAAGGACACCATTTTGGCTGACCAAACCAATGCATGGGCTTGGGATGAAAAACCCCTTCTGGCCTTCACTCTCTCGCCACGAAAACCAGAAGCTCGCTGTGCAAGTGCAAAATCCGCTGCCGCACGCCCGCACTATATCGTTCTGTTGGCAAGGGACCAACGGGCCGGTTGCAACCTTGCGGGGCCATTTCCGTTTGTTCAGCTTGAATCTCTTGGAATCTCATTAAAAATGGTGGGTTGCTTTTGGTTTCCTGAAAACACCACCCCAAGAATCTCTTGTATTTCACCAATCTGGATGAATCATTCTGAAAGCGCCAACCCGCAATAATACGGGTTTTGGCTGAAAGGAACGCACGTCCAACCCCGAACACCCAATGTCCCTGGCTTGCTCGGAATATGCAAAGCCTGGGCTCAAGGGGGAAAGAGTTTTTGAGGCGGTTAGACTCTTTTGAAAAATGTTGGGTTGTTGTTGGTTGCCTGAAAACACCACCCCAAAACAGGTCTGAATAGCATGGGCCCGAATTATTTGGGAGCAAAGACCCGCACCTGGGAGGTGTGCAAGGCGCATCTCGTGTCGACCTCAGCCGGCTCGGCCAAGGCTGAGAGCTTCCACTATGCTGGTTGGCAGGGAATGAGTTGTAACAGGGTTGCCGGAAATGGAAGCCACCACTCCTGTGATACTACAAAAAGGGCCGAACCAAAGACTAGCCCCCATAGAAAGGGGGAAGATTCCCTTGTATCGCAGAAGTGGCTGGATAAACCCCTTGATCCCGCAACCCTGGGTTGGAATGACCCGAATATAATATATATATATATTATAAAACGATCCAAGTGGTGGTTTCCTTTGAGGGGAGCTCTGGGTTCATTGACGCCCACCAGCAAGTCTTCCCCTGCATGGGTATCCATATTTGGTTGGTCCCCTATGGCAACGGTGTACTCTTGGTTTTCAAATCCAAAAGGTTGGCTTTTCCGCCATCAGACCCACATAGGGTTCGTCCAGCTCAACTTCGGCCCTTTAGGTGGTTTGAACAACACCTTTCAGGCCTATTTAAGGCGTGTTTTCCTTGGTAGGGGTGATGTGTGTGTAAAGGAGAAATGGGGAGTATGTTGTCGTTGTTGCGTATGATTGATAGGAGCCAAGGAAAATATTACAATTTGTTCTTCGGCAGGACATGGGGAAATCGAGTGGGTGATATTCATTTTGTGGGAACATGGAGGACCAATATTCAAAATTGGGGACCAATCATATTGTCACTTCATATGGAGGATTGTCAAATCCGCTGGTCGGAGGGACAATATCAATTTTGATTGGCTGCATGGCCATGCATGGCATGCTGACATTCGCTGCGTGCTGGATAATTTTGGTGCCATTGTTTGATGAAATACAGGGGTGGCTTTTCTTCGGAACAACCAATCTCTCTAACATCGGCATTCCTCGCCTAAAACAAACTTCGGCATACCTCAAATCGGGGTCCTTGAGAGTGTCTTAGCCGTGCACTTCCATTGGAAAGAGGGTAAGGCTTGAGGCAGTGGAATTTGTGCTTACTATTTGCTCCGGACCCATCGGAAGGAACATGAGCAAGCCGGCGAAAAGGGGCCGATCCAATTCCCATGTCCGTGTGTTGGCCCAGACCAAGTGGCCAAGGCAAAAACAAAACAGGCGCAGGTTGTGCTGGCATTTGAGATGCAGTGAAAGCCAAACGTGGAGGTCAGGGCTGCGAGCAGGGTCGTTTAAAGGAGATACATTCGGGCCAACAAATCACCCAATATTTTCTGATCTAGATCCAAATCCGTGATCTACTAGCTAAAACATCTCATCCAAAAAACACAAAACGCTTTCTTGGATCCCGAATCCTTCCGCGCTTCCCTGTGCTTTGTGGGTTACAAAGACGGGACCGCCCCCTGCAGCTCCCCGATGGCCCGCCCACCCGGAGCCGGGGCTGTGACGTGAGGGCCTGGAAGGCGTCGTGCAGGCTGCGGAAGGTCTCCGGGTCTCCGCCCTCGACGCGCGATGCGCGATCGATTCGCGGAGGTTTCACCGAGAAGGGCAACCAAAAGGGTTGCAGCGGAAACCGACCTGGTGGCTTCAGGGGTTTAAGGGGATACCCAAAGGACACCAACTTGGTGAAAATCGCGAAATTCTCTGGTGCTAAGGTAAAGGTTTACAAAGGTCTCTCACTATAACCTCGATTAACACCAGGTAGAACATGCTCAAATGGACAATGCCAAGCCTCTGAAGGTTCCTAAAGTTCCAAGGAGCTCGAGACAACCTTTTTCTGGGTCCATTTTCAAGATTACTCGTGCGGGATTTCCCAAATCATGCCATTTAGAGGGTACTTTGAGGATATCCCTTTGATGGACCCAGCTATTCCACATTGAGGAGTGGCTTTATTCCTTCTTGTCTCTACAGTGTTCTTTATAGACTTTATAGGGTTGAGCGGGCTTTGTTTTACCATCAAACATATGTATTGTTTTGCATTGTCATGAACATTCCCATTCTTGGATCGCTGTGTTTGCACTCTTCAGCACTCTCTGCTCGTTGAATCCCCAAGCGTCGTTCCATAGCGATCGCATTCAAACTGTACCCTGAAGGATGCAAAGCAAAAGAACACCAAGGGACCGTTAAACAAGCATATGCTGCATGCAAGTCACTTGGCTATGAAGCTTGATATGCGATACCGTGAAACATTGGCTGATGGACATAAAGCCAAGGCAATTGATGTCCATCCAAATCCATACCCACATCGACACCGGGCACCAGGTGGAAACCACGTGGGAAAGGGCCTTTCTGCGCCCCTGAACTGCATCGGACAACGCAAACACGTGGGTGTGGCTCATTTCTTCGAGGCTACCCTTTCTCACATAAAGCGGCTGCTGGAGGTTATGATTTTACAGGGAGGCCTGCGTTTAAAGAGAGGCAACAAGGAAAAGCCTAGCACAGCTGGGTTCAGACCCGCAAAAGGTTTACCGATTTGCTTGGGGAAATTGCCAGTTTACAAAAAAGTGAAAAGGCTGCATCCTGCGCGCAGTAGACACAGACTATCAGCTTCGCTCTGGTCGGTTGGGATTGGTAGTTTGGAGGCGGGTGGTTTCCCATATACCCTCAAGAACCGGGGTTGAAATCCAAGCAATAGCCGCCTCAGAGTTTTTTCACGGCCACGGGTGCGGACCACAATCACCCCCCTCCGTTGGCGGCACCAGCGCCACGGCCTCAGAGTTGCGCACCAAATCCTTTGCCTTTCCCGCGAAAGGCGATGGCCAGCCGCCTTGTCGGGGTGGTGCTGCTTCGCCAGCCGCCGAAAGGCTCGCGTGGCCTGACGCGAGCCCCGAAGGCTCGCGTCTGTCTCGCCGGGCCGTGGGCTTTGGGGTAGTGGTCAGAGAATGGTGGTCAAAATACGGGGTAGTTGGGTTAGTTTCGTTCCTTCCAAATGATCAAACATGTAAAGTGGGCAGAAAACAACCTTGAATTCGAAAAGACAAATGGGTCCCATTCGTAATGTCAAGAAGATGTTCCAACCACACGTTAAAGATGTACGTTTGATCCAAATATATGGAAGTGTATCATAACTTCCTTTGGGCCAAGGTCGAACATTTGCCTGTTGCACCAAACCAAAGAAAACCATTCACCTATTTTCTATTCCGGTTTGATCATCCTTTAAAGGCTGGGAGCAACCCTTCTCAACGTTTGTTCAACCTGATTGAAATGTCCCTGCCCTTTTTGAAGAGGGCCTCCTCCTTTTGAAGAGGGCTATTCCTTTCCATTTCCATCAGCTACCAGTTGGAGAACTTTTGGGGCCATAAACATGTCTTCTTAAAAGCCAAAGGCAGCCCCAGGGAGTCCAAGTGGCTATCCTGAAAGGTTTGTAAAGGATAATGGGTAGGTCAGCCCCCAACCATTGTGGAACCCAAGGATGCCTTTTTCAGGCTTGGTTCGAGTGGATTTCGCCCGGGTTTGCTGGGGGATCAAGTGTAATGGCATTGCTTCAGGCGGGATCTGGGATGATGTTGGGCTGACTGCGACTTCTGGCCCAATTGTGCTTAAGCCTGGAAAAAACACAACAAATCCAGTGCTTGAAAACCCGGGCAAAAATGAAACAAATCTCCCTTAAAACGAATGGACGCCTCCAATTACCCGCGGTTTTCAGCAAGTGACGACCAATGGTCTACCCAGAACCATGTAAGGATTGTCCCCTGCGCTCCAAGTGGGTTTTGAGCAGGTGACAACCACAATCTGCAGGGGAGTATGGAAAAGCGGGGAGTATGGAAAAGCGGAGGATTCCCTGCAAAACCGGAAGCACCCGAGTCACAATCAAATCCCCGTATTCAATTGGTCTGAACCATGAAAGGAATTGAACAGCCGAAACTTTTTTCATCCCATACCCTCCAACTCCCCGGGATTTGAGCAAGTGACTCACATGGCCATGGGTCAAGATCCAAATCATACTCCCAGGGAACATCCCAATCCAACCACTAGAAAAGGTTCTTAAATGGGTGGTGAATTCACCCAATCCCCAAAATGGGATCCCAAACAGAGCCAGTTGTTTGTTGGTGTGAAAGGGGAAAGCGAACCATTTTTCCCAGGGCGCCCAGGTGTGTTGTTTTTGGACTCATTTCCCCACCAAACTATGGCCACAATCAAACCACCAGAAAACCACAGGTTTTAGTCCATGTTTCCATTTACCAGGGCAAGCCATTTTGGGTACCGATTTTTAACCCACGGCCACGGACTGCTCCCAAAGACGTCCCAGGCGGCCCCTTCGCCTCTTGAGGCCCCGCTGCCGGCCCCAGGCCCAGCACGGCGCGATGCGTGGCGAGAGCCTCGGAGCTTCGGCGCTGGCGCCGGAGGTGGCTGGAGGCGGCCGGAGGCGGCGGGCTGGATTTCTCGGGGGCGACCCAAAAGTCTTTGGAGCCCCGAAATGTTGGAGTTAAGGACTCTCGGGTTGCAAAAACTGGGGGTGGGAAATGTGGCAGAATTCCGCAACCCAAGTGCGTAGGAGTCCCATTTTCTGGATGAGGGCACGAGGACTTTGGGGTTGCAACCCTCAGGTTTGATTGTAGAGTTTCCAGGGCAAGGTAAGGCCGGCATCAAGGGGAAGGAGTTGGGAGTTTTTGGGGGAGGGTTTTAGGGCCCGTGACAAGTTTGTGTTTGTTGGCTAGTCGGCGGGAGATGGCTATTGCCAATCCAAAAGGATTGGGTCTGCACAAGATGCGCCATTCCACGTGCAATCATACTCAGAGACACTTCCATGCTTCTGGGAAATACACTTTTCATTCCCATCCATCCGCACCCATGGCTTTATCGAATCCGAGGGGCCACCTGAAACCCCTTGTTTTCCACATCCATGTCGGGCAGTTGCCGAACAGCGGTCCTTAATTCGGTCTTCAACCCACGAAATGGCCATAAGACGACTAACCCCAGTTCCTATGGTGAGATCAACAAATTATCTGACATAGGCTGAACATCTGGGTAACCAAGCCCGTCAAACAATTTGCAGGTTGCAACCATGCTTGCAAGCGGACTAACCTCAGCAACTCTGGCAAACGATCTGGATGTGGCTTTTGTGGATCCACCCCTGTAGGGTTTTAAAAGATTACTAAAATATTACAAAAAATGGACCAACAGGGGGGAAAATAGGTGAAATCCACAAGAGTCGAATTCAAACCCTTTTCTAGAACCCCAGCTATGGCTATAACCCCGAACCCCCAGTGACTGTTAAAAAGCACAGATCCAAGCAAGGCCCTCTGTTCTTGGTGGTTGCTTTGAGAAAGGGCACACCCCCTCCAATGGAGGAACAGCTGGCACCCCCAGTGGCCGTGGGAAAAACAGATACAAGCAGGGACGGGCCCTCTGTTTTGGTACCCTCCCACCAACGAACATGGAAGTGCACAACCCCCGTTTCCAAGAGGAAAGTAGTCTTTCTGTAGGAGTCTGTGCACTTCCATGTAAGGTGGGAGGGTAGTTAAATTTTAAACCCCTCAAAAATGAAGGAACAACCATAGGTGCTTTTTTGGGGAAATAGATGGCCCTGGTAGATGATTAAACCACCAGATACACCAGGGCCATCCATTTTTTTGTAGCAAAACCACCGCAAAGGACACCTATGGGAACAGCTGGCACCGGACCCGACCCGGTCGCCCGGCATCGCCTGCCGCGCGCCGGGGCGGAAGAGCTCCGAAGTCTTGGCCCGCGCCATGCGCCCGGTGCTCGCCTCCCGGAGCAGCACCTGCGGCGCGGAGGCGGCGTGGAGGCCCCGAGGCGCCGGAGGAGTCGTGCCTAGTCCTCCAATGGTTAGGGGAATTACCATTTTTTTCTGAAGTTGATTTTAGTAGGGGAACCCTCCCAACCAAAAAAAGGTGAGAAAGGGCGAAGCCCCGGGGGGGGTGCGGGCCGGGCCGGGCTCGTTGGCAGACTGGGACGGGGTAAAGGTTGTGGGGAGTTCTTCGTAAGCCCAAAAAGATTTTGCCCTCCTGAGTTGGCCCCTTGAAATTGTTCCATGGGGTGTTCTCCAAACGCATTTTAAGCGCGGAAGAAAAAGACGCAACGTGTCAGGTCGTAGGCCTTTTACATCTGGGACACCCATTCCAAGCAGCGCGGGACCTGTCAAATAATAGGGACAAGTTACTTGTTCGGCGATCGAAGAAGAAAGCTGACAAGAAGTTAATCAGGGATCCTTACATTATACACCTGAACATTGCCTTGTAAATGGTGGTGTCCCTTTGTTTTGGTGGAAAAATCCATGTTGCAAATGGGCAAAATGTATCTTTTAAGGAGCCCTGTGAATTTGCCAAGGAATGGGTGAGCTTGTGCCACCCACATTCAGTCCCTGAACATCCTGTCCCGGTTTTCTGATTCCTGGTTGGCAGTTGACCCCTGGCTGCAAACTAGGGCCACTGGAAAATTCAAACAACTCATCAAGCCCCGGCTTCCTTTCCTGGGATAGTCGCCCTGCAGAATAACCTAAAACCCCAAGAAGAGTCCTATCAAAAAAACAACAGAAAACACACACACACACACACACACCTCCCACACACACACACACCTCCCACACACACACACACACACACACACACACACACACACACACACACACACACACGCACCTCCCACACACACACACACCACACACACACACACACCACACCACACGCACACACACACGCACACACGCACACACGCACACACGCACACACGCACACACGCACACACGCACACAGACACACAGACACACAGACACACAGACACACAGACACACAGACACACAGACACACAGACACACAGACACACAGACACACAGACACACAGACACACAGACACACAGACACACAGACACACAGACACACAGACACACAGACACACAGACACACAGACACACAGACACACAGACACACAGACACACACACAGACACACAGACACACAGACACACAGACACACAGACACACAGACACACAGACACACAGACACACAGACACACAGACACACAGACACACAGACACACAGACACACAGACACACAGACACACAGACACACAGACACACAGACACACAGACACACAGACACACAGACACACAGACACACAGAGACACACAGAGACACACAGACACACAGACACACAGACACACACACACACACACACACACACACACACACACACACACACACACACACACAGACACACAGACACACAGACACACAGACACACAGACACACAGACACACAGACACACAGACACACAGACACACAGACACACAGACACACAGACACACAGACACACAGACACACAGACACACAGACACACAGACACACAGACACACAGACACACAGACACACAGACACACAGACACACAGACACACAGACACACACACACAACACACCACACACCACACACCACACACCACACACCACACACCACACACCACACACCACACACCACACACCACACACACACCACACACCACACACCACACACCACACACCACACACCACACACACACACACACCACACACCACACACCACACACCACACACCACACACCACACACCACACACACACACAGAAACATGACGATTTTCATGTTCCACAATCAACAGGATGCAAGCAGGCCCTTGCCCAGCACCGCCGCCGCGTGAGGGCGGGCTTCAACATTTGGGAATCAATAACCCCTCTACAGTTGATAACTTTTTCTGGTACCTTCTGTTGGGCTGTTTCGCAGGGCAAACACGCAAGCCAAAGTCCATTTGCGTATTTAGTTTCAAGATCGGGCAACATGGTAATTTGCATGGTGATTTAGCATGCATTCAAGATACCCACTGCGCTTGTCAAGCTCCACCGAGATCGGAATATATAGCTTATATCGTGAGAGGTGCTATCGTGGCAATGACGCCGCGTGGCGAGACATACACATGGACCATAGGTTCCACCTCGCTTACTAGGACCACCAAATCTCCACCTCCTTTTGGAAAACACAAGGAACCCATGCATTTTGAGGGTCCGTCCACTTGCGGACACAAAGACCCACCCCAGACTCGGCAGCTTCTTCAAACGATCCAACCACCCTCCTGGGTTTCGTTAAGGCGCAAACATACGGCCTTTATTGTCAGGAGAGGGGGAGGGATGGCCAGGGAAGTGGGAAGGTCTGGAATCCTACCCGCCACCTCGTGAGGTGATCGACCCCTACCTCAGTTGTAACTCATACACGAGTTACTATTTGAGTCAAAGCCCGGTATTAATACGGCCTGCCCACGACCATGGCACATAACTACGAGGGGCCGCACCTATGATGCACCTATGGTTGGGAGCGTCCGGTTTGGATGGCTCAAGTTGAACATCAAAGCATCCCGCAGCACCCGCCCAACCACTGCGTTTTGGATGAACATGGGAACACGGCAGCTGAGGGGCGCTGCATCCAGACTCAGATGCCCAGTGGCCATGGCAAAAAGAGGGCATCCTTTTTTGTTGGTTGAGTTTAAAAGGGAACCCTTACCCAACAAAGAAAACAAAGGCACCACTGGGCAACAGAGCAGGCTTGGCCGTTTTCTGCTCGGCTCGTCGCCTCCCCAGACTCCACCAGCAGCACGCGCCCCTCCGCGCCACTCAGCGTCTCCACCGCGTCCCCCAGCGCAAAGTCCCAGGCCTCGAGTGCTTGAGGCGCAAGGGGGGGGGGTTGTTGGTCTCGAGTGAGGCGGGGTTTGGAAGGGAAGCCAGGAACGTCAACGCCAGGTGGTACCAGGGGCTTTTCTATGGCTGTTTTTTTTAGGGGGTTCCCTGCACGTAGCCAAAAAAGCCCCATAGTTTTGAAAACACCAACAAGCAAGCACCCACAGACACACACAGCCACACAAACACTTCAACAACACTACATGAGCGGCCGGCGCTACTACAATTACATCCGGGCTGCTTAGTGACCAAAATTATCGCTTTTGGTAGGCGCCTATGTATCGTGTATTGTTTTACATGTTATACATGTCATGTATATGCATGCATGCGACACCCTCATGATCACATCAGAGCGCTCGCTCTCACATCAGGCTCCGGCTGGGGTCAGCGTACCTGTGCGGAGAGATCACCCTGAGACTCAAAAAAAAGGTGGAACTCATGAGGCCCTGCCTGAGCCATTTCCTCCAATTCGCAAACAGGACACCAGGAATTGCAACAAGGGGCCTTAATCATGGGTGAGCTCGTTTCCGCGTAAGCTGGTGATATTTTGCCCAGCCCCCGGAGAAGTCTGATCTGAGCTGGACATTCTGTGCTTGAGCCTGCGTGGGCAACATCTCTAAGACTGTGACGTATAATAACCTCGATGATGATCCCGCTACCTTCGGGCATCAAACCACAGTCATATTCCTAGATCCTCAGTGCCCAGTGGTTGCGGGGGAACCGACTACTGAAGGAACCGCTGGTCGGGCCCCATTTCAAAGAGCTCCGCGCCCGATCACTGCGGTGAGACTTTCATCTCGAGAAAGGGCACTGGGAAACGAGTCCTTGCCCCCGATCCGATCCACTGACGTTCCCCACCGAAAGCAAACCCGCCTCGTGGATCGCTGGCCTGCCAAGTCAACCAGCAAAGAAAACCACTAGGCGAAGGCAGCACAAAAAGAGCACGCAGCACTGGATATTCGGCAGCCCCCCATGTTCTCTGATGCTGCAGAGTTCGTGTGCCCAATGCCATCCCTTTTACAGCACTCGCCAGGCGTTCCCTGTCTTTGTTTGTTCAAAGGGAAGGTTGCACATCAAGTTCGCGTCTTGAGCGCAGAAAACTTGGTTAGGAACTCCCCAAAACAAACTGAAAGAGTAAATAACAAGTGCCAAAGCCCTCTGCAAAGGGGTGTTCCCCTTAAATTCCCCAAAGACACAAATTCAACAAGCAACGCTTGGCCCTCCCGTTCCCTGCCTGCTTGGCCCGCCTCTGGAGCGTAGCGATGAGGAAGCTAAACGCCTGGAGGTCTCCAAACCTTTCAACCTCTCTGGCGCGATATTAGGAAAATTTGGGCGGGATCCCGCCAATAGATGTACCAAAAGGAAACCAACAAATCGACCCACACAGAAACAAACATACACGGGCATAGACCCCAGATAGCATTGGGCATTTCCGCCATCTGGGGAACAATGGATACCAAAGAAAGCCGATTCCCAGATTTGGGCCACTAACGTGATCTTTCGAGGCGTTAGGACGGCCACCTTAGAGACCGTGGCCCCGAAAAAGGTTTCGTTCAGGGCCATGGTTTTTGACACGCCGATGGGTCAATTCGGCCAAAGGGAAGCCAAAAGACCCCAAGCCTCTAACCGCATGGTGCACAGGGCGCCCTCCCAGCTGGGTAAAGCGACTGGGGGTGTCCAAACATACTGAAACCCGCCTTTTTGACAGTTTTGAAGGGACACTCAAAGGAAACCTTTATAGAAAGGGGGGTCCCCGTGTTGGGAAGCATCCATACCAGTGCTGCGTTAAATCTAAGGCGGCAGTTCATCCTGGGATTGAACCCACAGCTGCAAACTCTACAGCTCGTCTCCAGGCAAAACATTGCTATTTGGACCATGCATGATCAACTCCAACCAAAACGCCTTACTTCCTGCGTGGACTCAGAAAAAAAAACAAAGCGGGTGAACACTCCAATTGCCAAACCTCTACTCAGTTGCAAGGACCAGGAAACAAAAGGTTAAGCTGTTTGGGCCGTTTCTGAACATGGACGAACATGCGAAAACCAAAAGGACAGAAGGTCGACTCCCTTTGGGCAAGTGAGCCTAAAGCGCGAAGGGCCAACTCTCAGCGCCTCCGACTCAGCGCTCTGCGCCTGGCAAAGCAGTCGACAACCCCAGGCCTCGCTGGGTCCCCGTTTCGAGAAGCCAGCTCCACTTGAGAGCCCATTGTGCGAACGCCAAGGATTTGCTTCTCAAAAGCGGTACATATCTTAAAAGTAGGACCTTAGGACTTGCTCCTGATAGGCTTAATAGTTGCTGGTTTGCTTACTAAAAGACTAGAGTAGCCACATTCGAAGAACGTAACATCTCAAGGTGCCGCATGCAGCATTCCGAACGGACACAAGACATCACTTCGCTCAGGCAGCGTTCAGCCTATGATAGGATCACCTACCGCCCGCTTGCAGGGTCAAGGCCTGCAATCTGCCCCTGAATATATGCCGCACCGCGGCGTACGGTTGGTACATCAAGTCCAGAGCGCGGGCCAACCCCAGGAATTACACCCGGAGGGAACATGAGACTGAGACAATCCCTATATGGCTGCGGATCAAACATAGGTACCCAAATTTGAACCCTGGTAAGTGGAAACATGGACGATCTAACCTGCGGTCCAATTCCACGTGGTTTGATTTTGACCCATACCATACCTACATCTGAAAGTCCATCCAACATGTCCAACTCAGCAAGTCACTCACTCAGTGCCAGTGTTTGCTCCCGCGCACTCTGTTCAGCATGCACTAGATCATCGTGCAGTCACGCTCCAGCATCTCATTATCGAGGTAGTAAAACAAAAACTGGGCACCTGTCAATGGACGTCATTTGCATACACCACTGTCCATACTCAGTGTGACCCTGCCCCCACTGGGACTTTGGTGTGTATGTGTAACCCCATTTCGCAAATGTTCGACCCATTGCTCGAGGTGCGGGAAATTCATGCCCAACCATGTTGGAGAATGAATCAAAGCCTTGGATTTCATCGCCACCATCTCAATCATCTTGCTTGCGCACCCCCTGGGTGCGGCTCGCCATTTGAGGCGCTGATTTTCTCTCACCTGACGCTCACCTGAAGCTCACGCGAGCCGCTCGCCGGCGCGCAGCTTCTTCAAGACCTCCGAGCTGAAGAGCGTCTGCAGGGCCTCCGGGCTGTGGATGATCTGGTGCCTCAGCTCGGGCGGCCGATTGCCAAGGAAATCGGAAAAAAGGCAACTAGTTGAAGAAAGCTTATGGAAGCCTGGCAAAGCTTATTAATATGTGGCTTTTAAGCATCACACCCCCTGTTGAAATCGAGAAAAAGGCTACAAGTTGAAGAAAGCTTATTCAAGCCTGGCAAAACTGAAAACTTTGATGTGCCCTCTTATAAGTCACCCCTAAAAGGAAAACGACACAGGCGAAGAGATTTCAAAAGGTTAAGCTATGGCAATGGCGCATGGTGGGGTTGGCCTTCGCCAACTGCTGCACCATGGGATTCTCCTTCAGCACCTGCCCGATGCGAACCAGGCAAACATCCAACCCCCCCGGTGGTTTTTTTGGACCAGGGCCAAACCTGTGGAGCACTGAAGCACTGAAGCCTCAGGCTTTTGCCGGCAATTGTCATAACATGTTTCATGGTTCACAAGTGTGCACCGTAAAACCTGTAAAACCCAGTCAAAGAGGTCCCAGAAAAATAGTTCCAAAGGGATTTTACATGCATCTGAGGCTGAAGGAGTGGCTGGCCGGCACAGTCTGGTCCCGACCCCTTGAGACCTCACAGGACCGCCTCAACCCCTTCAAAAAGCCAGCACCCCCCCAGGCACAGAAATGTATCGTACCCCCAGTGAAAATAGACTAAACTGGGTGGTGCACCCACCCCAAAATGGTACCATTCGTTTTGACCCACAGCCATATATATGCATATATATATATATGCAATCCCCCGACTGAGCCAGCCAGTATGGACCGGGATAGAGCCCTTGGTACGCCTTCAGGCTTTAAGACAACCATAAGGTACCTCCATAGGAAACGCCCTGGCGTAACTCTCAGCCAAAAACCGCCCCTTGCAGTCCCACAACTTAGCGGATGTGGGATCCCGGTCTCCTCTCAGTTTGGGCTCCACCTTTCGGTGAACGCACTCACAGACACAAAGGAAGATGGTTGCAAATCTGACCCCAATTGTCCGTACCATAACCCTCCCCCCGAAAAGAAAAAAAAGAAGAAGAGAGAGAAAACAACATGAAAACTAGAAAAGGCGAAGTCCGCCCAGCGCTCCAATTTGAAGGGCACCTTCATCAGCATCTCGGGCTTGCCAGTGAGGCTGCGAATGCCTGGGTTTGGGAAAAACAAAGGAGAAGTCTACCTCAGCTTTTGCCGCAACTTCAAAGGTGTTGGTTGCAGGTTGGGATTTGTTGCAGCTTGCGTAACGAATCCTGGAGGAGGGCCCTTGATTAGTCGAGTTGCCACCCCTATTTGCAAGAAAATCCCAAGCGTAGTTTGGTCCATAGCACATGTAATTCCAAAGCGATCCGAGACTCTGAGTCCTTTTTCCGTATGATACATCCCAGGCGCATTTTTTGTGTGGATGCAATTTAAACCAGACTCAGGAGATGGAGGGGAAAGCACATCTCCAACTGGGGAGGCAGTAGGAGATGTAGCATAACTTGTTGAGTCCTGTTGTGTGCTTCTCTATACTGGCACCTCTACACTCATTCCGCAAAGCAGAACGCCTCCGCGATCTGTATACATATATATATGTACAAACATGCAAACGTGCATATACATATATATATATATAATATGTGTGCACTGTCATGTGCGTATAAATGTGTATGTATGTACACGTAAGCATCCATATGAATATGTCACATCGCTCTCCAGCAGCATCAAGCCGCACAACTGAAATGAAGACCGCCGAGGCGCGGTCTTGGACAGTTTGCTGACCCAGCTCCTCCTGGGCCAACCGATTTCAGCCCCGAGAGTTCGCAATACGTAAGGGGCAGAAATCATAGGATCCACCCCCCCCCCCAGCCTCTAAGCTCCTCCCCATACCATTTCTTCCCGGGATTTCTGGTACCAGTTGGAGTCAGCTTCCTAGCTTCCTTTGAGAGGTGATCTTTCCAGGGAGTTGAGCGGAGCCCGAGAAGCCTCTAGATCCTAGGCCTGGAGGCTGTAAGTTAGGGGCTTTGGGTGTGAATCCTAATGGATTTGACGGTGTGATTCATTTCCAGCCCTTGCCATGTTTAGGAAACAGGAGGGGCTTGGGGAGGCAGTTGAAATGCCAAAAAAAAACATCTACAGGAACGGTGAAACCGCGGTTTCTCAGGGGCTCTTTAAGGGTTTCCTCGCACGACACACCCATGAACCCACAAAACAAATACCTACCCACCAACAAAACATGAAAGTGTGCATACTCTATTTGACAAGCAGTCCTCAAGAAATCGCCATGCATGCGCGAGGGTAAACCATTTTCGAGCAAGCTCATGGCAAGAGCGTGTGCAATTCCCTCTGCAAAGGGACCCGATCAATCAACCAGAGTTAGATTCATCCAGGGTTTTCATGATGAAGCCATGCAGCAAACAATTCCATGGCCTTGATTTGGTCACCAGGTTTGAGCCTCCCTGTTCTTGAGCAGGGTTGGGCAAAAACATTGCTTAAGCAACTCGAACAAGATCCATAACAAAGAGAACCGTAGGAAGTTGCTTGAAGAATAGTGCTGTAAGCCTTTGTTGACAAGGGGTTCGCCCAACCCTACTGATGGCGGTTTAAAATTGATCAAACCATAGAACTTAAAACTGGTGACCAAGCCATGGGTTCTGCTTCAAACATGGCTTACTTGCTTTGAAGCACATATTGCAAAGCAGCTTTGGCACGACAGCCCTTGCTTCAACATGTGTTGAGCCCACTTTGTATGGTAGCCCACCTTGTAACCTGCTCTCAAATGGGTCTCCTTCTTCCATTTGCTTTTGCGCCCCCTGGAAAAACTAAAAATATGTTCAGTAGTCATAGATTCCCTTTAAAACCGACAAGGGAAAATAACACATGGCTAGGTCAAAACAAAAAATGGTGCCCAAAATGGAACCCTGCACACACAGAGACACACACACAGAGACACACACACAGAAACACGCACACAGAGACACACACACACACAGAGACACAGACACAAACACACACAGACACACACAGACACAGACACAGACACACACACAGACACACACACACACACAAACACACACACACACACAGACACGCACACACAGACACACACACACACACAGACACACACACACACAGACACACACACACAGACACACACACACACAGACACACACACACACAGACACACACACACACACACACACACACACACACACACACACACACACACACACACACACACACACACACACACACACACACACACACACACACACACACACACACACACACACACACACACACACACACACACACACACACACACACACACACACACACACACACACACACACACACACACACACACACACACACACACACACACACACACACACACACACACACACACACACACACACACACACACACACACACACACACACACACACACACACACACACACACACACACACACACACACACACACACACACACACACACACACACACACACACACACACACACACACACACACACACACACACACAACAGACACACACACACACTTGTGAAATTCCCCTGTCTCGGTGTTTGTTGTGTCTCATTTCTTCAGTGGAAATTTTAGGTTCGGAACATGCGCCTTCATTGTAATTCGCGTGGAGCTTCGTCATCCCATACCCACATCTTCTTAAGCAAATGGAAGCCTTTGACCTGGCTCCGTCCTTGAGCTTGGGATCCAACTCCTCCTTGGCGTCCTTGGTGTCCGGCACCTCGATGCCCGCAAGCCTCGTGAGGGCGCCGGGATCCGCTTGCTCCCCGCGGCCCACGCTCTTGAAGATGTTGGCCCAAGCGTCCATGCCTGACACCGGCGACCGCGCTGTCCCCCCTTGAGAGACCCATCACCAATTTACCTCCGTTGACTTCACAAATGTGTGATTGTGGGCTGCTTGGCACCTAGAGTGTGCAAGCAGCTTGCATAGCCTCTAGGGCGCTGTTTCATAGCTTTGCCCTGAATATCCTTCAGTAGGTTCTCACCATGGTTCTGCTTGGATCAGTGGGGTGAACATCCATGTAGCATGTTCTTGACCCTGGATGGAGTAGTTGACACTGGAAGCAACCCGGGTAGCGCACCGGAAACGTGGGAAAATCGTCAAGTCACGTCTTAAGTTAACCTCAGCCCTAGCTCCGGAAGTCGATGCCCCGAACAATGGATGTGATGTCCCAACAAAAACCTCAGCAAACATCAAGGCAGTGCTTGCGTGCGAAATATAGGAGCCATGCTGTAGACGGGACCCCGTCTGTGGTTCTCGCAGTGCCGCCATGCCGCAATCTCTCTCAGGGGTCCCCAAAGGCTACATATTGCTCCCAAGGCCTCGGCACGGTTCAGCTTTTCTTTGGCATTTCCGAGGGTTTCTTGTATGTTCCCGGCGCCCCGTGCCGCGAGAGTTCCAAGCTGTGGATGTTGGGTACTCAAGAGTGTAAGCCAAGCTTGTAACAACACAACCCTTAAACCAAAGGAGGCTGACTTAAAAAAACGGCCGACATGACATTTGGCTGTGGGCCAAGAATGGGTACCCCTATGGAACTCTGGTAAATGGAAACAAGGACTAAAACCTGCGGTTCCCTGGTGGATTCATTTTGACCCATACCCATGTCAACATGCCGGATCCTCCTGCGAACTGCGTTGGGTCCAAGGAAACAAAAAACAAGCCTTTGGCCACCAAGGCTCCGACGACCCGATCGGCACCGGTGGGTAAACATTCATCCCCAAGGGACCCTCGTACCCCTTCTCCATGGTTTACCTCAGCATTTAGCCTCCAGCCACAAGTGACATGTTGACTCTGCCGCATATTTAGGGAAGCTGTCAACCTTGTGCAGAAGTCTATACATATATGAGCAACGGCTTTTATTTGTTACATGGCATAATGGACGGGTGTTCCTGACTCGTTTTCCAACCCAGCGCTCGGTCGCAGCCCCCTATCTCGTTTTCCAACACCGCGCTCGTTTTATCTGGCTCAACTTTCTGTAGAGCTTGAAGAAGAGGAGCTTAAAGAAGTAAACGAGCTTTGGTTAGCTTGCAGCCTCCTTTGTCTCCTTCGTTGTTGCCGCACAACCTTTCGCTAAGCAAACTGCTGCTACACAATTTGTTGAAAAGTAATACTTGAGAGGAGGAACTGGGCCAATACTCACTTGGACGCTGTAGGGGACTCGTTCTGAACTCGTTTTGAACTCGTTTTGGAACTCGCTTTTAACATGGCCCGCTTTTGGACGGCTGAAAATTGCCCAGGGGCAAATCTTGAACAAACCAGCTACGATGCTTCTTCGCAAGTTTGATTCACACCCTTTTGCAGTTAGGCATCGTAGGGTTAGCCAGTACTTGCCCCGGAAAGTCTGTGGTAAGTTGCCACGGACCATGCGACGTAGGTCGTCTACTCTACACTACATCTAACAACCTTGAACCCAAGACGCTCTGCCAGGCTGCACTTGCCAAAATGTCATCCTAATCCATGTTATCATGCTTGTTTGCCCTATCTCGTTTTCGGGGTGTTCCCCAACTCGTTCTGCGGCTAAATATGCACATTTGCAAAAAATAGTTCCAGCCCCTTGCATGTTTCCATTAAGGTAAATAAAGTTGGTCGCTCATATATATATATATATATGGTATATATGATATGATATATTGTACACCTATTATACATGTATATACATGTATATGCCGCATATTCAACAAACGATCCCTGGTTGGTCATCCATCGCGACCACTTTGACGCGACCCCCGCGAGCTCGGCACCTTCAAAGCCGAGGTCCTCCTGGGCCTCGCCAAGAAACCGGGGTGCATGGCCCACGCCAGTCGGGTGGTTTCCTTCTGGTTTTCCAACCAACTCTCGATGGCGAAATCTGATCCCCTGCTAAAAATACAACAACAACTTTTAGTGGTTTGATGGCAACCCCTTAGTTTGCAAAAAGTTAATGTCCTAACATCCAAGCAAAACGCACCAATGAACTCACTTCTCATCGAGTGGATTGGCCAAACAAAAAGTCTAAACTGGCTGTTTCCTTCCAATTCACCAACTGGCTTTCCTCTCACCAACTCACTTCCCATCGAGTGGATTGGCGATCGGAAAGTCGAAACGCTTCTTGTTACTTCCAAGATGGTCTTCAGTGACTCAAGTCCAGGAACTCAGGGAGTGAGCCAGCCCCTCAAAAGGCTACCATCAGGACGCAGACCCAAGTCTTTGGGAGTCGCCCCCCCAAAAAAGAAGAGTTTGCCGCACTTCTTTCGCGTTGAATCTCGAGTCCGCATGTTTTTGTTGGGTTTGATGTTGAAAGCACTGAACTCAAGTGAACATGACTCACCCATAAAACGTCACACCCATATTAACGGCCTTGTTGGGGTATTTCTGGGTAAGGGAGGTTTGGATGGAAACCAAATAGAAAGCCGCTTATCACTATGGAAATACCTGGGGAACTAACTCCAGCTACCCAAGTGCCAGCCATGGTCCTGACCACCTGACCAAGTGGGTTAACCATGCAATGTAAGGAACGTGAAACCTGACTGGGGGCGCCTAGAAAACAATGTTCAAGAGACCTTCTAGTGGCTGCCATAGAGGGTACCTTTAGGGATGGAACTACAGATCGCCCAAATGTAGGTGTCGAATCCTTGAAAAGGAATCAACATTTCGATAAACCACCATTCTTTGAACAACGTGGCTTCCGGGGTTAGATGTAGCAAAAGTGCTTGACCGTACTCATTTGAGCCACTGTGAAACGCGATTCTCACGGGATAGCGTGTCTTAAATAGGGGACCCCTAAAAAGAGCTTTGGTTTTCTCTTTCGTTTCCCTTGAAGCCAAGCCCAAGCAGGGGCCAAGCCTCGATAAAGGGAACAGGTCCCCATGGTTGGATGGTTCGTTGATGGCAATCCCATGCCTGCTCCAGGAATCCTCGGGCATTCCCAAAGATCATAGAATCTGAGGTCGAATTCCAAGCAACGCCTTTGAGTCGACATGCCTTTGTCTGCCCAAACTGTTGTCTATTGATAGGATTTGATACTCGTTGGCCAGTTTGCAAGACTCATCCCCCATACCTTCAGCGAGACGGAATGTGGGAGGGGTGCCCAGCCCCGAAGTCAACGAATTGGCCAGCTGCCAAGTGAAATCTGGTTGCTGCAGAAAAAAACCCTTCTTTCCCAAGGTTGCTTCCCCCAATCATTCCTTTGATGTCTGAAAAGCTATGGGATCCCTGGAGGCAGTCAGTCAAAAATAGGTATCCAAATTGGAACGTTGGAGAATGGAAACATAGACTACAACCTGAAAAACGCCTGGTGCTCTAATTTGGACCCATACCCATGTGGCTGTGGCTCAAAAAACCGGTACCACAAATGGAACCCTGGTAAGTGGACACATGGACCAAAACCTGCGGTTTGCCTCTCCTGTTTCATTTTGAGCCACTGAAAAGCCACGGGATCCCTAGCCGCCCGCGCGGAGCCTCAAGCCTTTGGAAGCCGCGAGCCTTCACATCGCCCAGGCCCAGCCGGCCCTGCGCATCAACTGACACGCCAGCGAGGACCCAAGGCGCCTGGCGGGCTACGGCCCAATGGGACTCGACCAACGGCTTCGGTGTTCCCTTTGGTTTCCGGTTAGAAGCAAAAACAAGAAGGGTACCCACATACCCAAGATGACAAACAAAGAAGAATCATTGACTAAATGAACGATGAGCTTGCTAGTCGATTGTTCGTTTGGGGTCCACCCCATTTTTGTGAACAACAAACAGGGTTCCCCCCCCCATTTTCAAGTCGTCCGGGGCTCAAATGTGGTTATATAGCTTGGGTGGGTTGCAAACATTTGCCACCATGAAGTTTTCCCCAAAAGAGAGGGTCTAAAAAAGAAGAGCCCGCGATCATGACTGTGGGCAATTTAGCGCACAGGCTATTTAAAGGATGTCACAAATACGCCTTTCGGAAGAACTGAGAAAAATCAAAGGCTTAGATGCTAGAAACAAGATCATAGTGGGGGGTGGGCCCCGGCTACTAAATCATGTAGATCACCTATTTATCACTCCCACCAACATGGTTTGGTGCTCGGCGCAAGCCATGTAGAGCCAAACTCAAACCAGGCCATTGGTTTCCTGAAAACCTCAGATTATGTGTCAAGTTTAGTCTGCTATCCCTATACAAATTCTTTTAGAGGAGACCATAATTGCAGTCCTACTGTGGATGGACGAAATCCATTTCGCACCAGTTTGAAACCATGAATAACCGTTGTTTGTTGGTATTTGCAGGGGAATCCTCATTCCAGGTTTCTTATGAGGCGCGAAATGGATTTCGCAAATCCACAGTAGGTCAGCATTAGGGTCTTTCAAAAAAAACAAACTCACAGTCGATCCCCGTTTCACTGGGGCCGTTTTGTTGGAGTCCATTCTTCTTGTTTGCATCTGCCCTCCTTGCGCGCGATCTGTTTCCATGAGCGAAAGTCCATAAACGAAAACATGGACATGAGTGAACATGAGTGTATATGTTTGTGGGGCATTTCGTGCGTCCCCCATAAATGCCTATCCCAAACTGAGCATCATGTTGGCTTGATTCAGCGAATCGAATGCCCTCCCACCGACATGGTGTGGTGCACAGAATCAATGTTCAAGACCCAGTGGAGAGGTTAGAATAAGGGTACCTTTTCTTTTTTCTGTAGTCTATTTTAGTAGGGGACCCCTCCCCCAACAAAGGGTAAAAGGGCGCTACTGGGGGACCTAGAATGGGAAAGCAAACTTTGAACAGGCAAGGTAGTGGAAAACAAGTACCCGTAGACATCACAAACACGATGGGTACCTTTCAGTGCTCATGATTATCTACTCCAAAAGGGATTCCACCATGGATTTGCCCAAGGTTGGGCACTTGCAAACCTGCGAATGGAACATCATGCTTTCCGCCAAGGGAAAACCCCGCAATTTGCTGCCAGGGACAGCATCCCTCCGACCCTGGCACAACACAAACATGAAAAGAAGGAGAACCGGCGACACTCCCAATGCTCTACTTGTTTGCTTTCCTCTCCCCTGCTAAAAGTGACTAATTTTTAGTGGTTTAATACGGAAAACCCACGAGTTGGCAAAAAGTTTTAAAGTCCTAACATCCAAGAAACATGCACCAAAGCTCGACCTTTGTGGATTGGTTTACGTAAGGTTCGGAGCAACCCTGGCTCACCTGCAACAGTCCGGGCTACTGTAGATCCCGCCGGATCCGCGCCTGCCACATCAGCAGGGCAACTTTAAGAGTGATCAATGCCATGGGAAGATCGGAGTCGAATTCGTGTTGCTGGTTGTTCGTTGATGTTCTCGAGCAACAGAAGGCAGCAGAGTCAGTACTGAATGCTGGCATGCTAAGCAAGCGCATCTTGGCCTGCCGTGGCAAGCCTCCGCTATGCCAGCGCGCATCTGTCCATTTTCTGCGGCCCTCTCTCTCTTCACGTCTCACGTGCACAATCGTAGGCCATGTTCAACTAGGTCCTCCAGTAGAGAGGTTAGAATCATGTGGTGCCAACTTTTTCTATGTAGTCGATTTTAGTAGGGGAACCCTCCCCTAAAAAAGTTGGTCAAAGGGCACTACTGGGGGAGCTAGTCAACCGACCGTCACAAACCTCGCGCAATCAAACGATTGCGCCGCAAGAACTTGAGGCGCGCCATTTGAGGCGCCAAGAAACCCTCGCCTTCTCATCTCGGCATCTCACGCGCATAGGTGTCCTTTTTGGTTGGAAATAGATGGCCCTGGTAGATGATTAAACCACCAGGTAAACCAGGAATCGCCATCTACTTTTCGGGCAAAACATGGGCAAAACAACCAAAAAGGACACCTATGCTCATGCGATGCTTTCTCCGGCCAGCTTCTCCTAGGTCTGACGCTGAAGAGCGTCTGTAAAGCTTCAGGGCTGTGGATGATCTGCTGCTTGCACCATGGGAGTCTCCAGCGCCTACCAGATGGCTTTGCACAAAATGTGTCTTGCGAGTGCTGTTAGATGTTGCAAGCCAGCTTCTCAAAATCCGCAACCGAGATGTGGCGTCGCTTCTGTAAGTGTCCGTTTGCTTGTTTGCTTGGGTGCTGCTGCTGTGTGTGTGTGTGTGTGTCATCTAACACTAACCCAAATGCAATTCCGCTCTAAAACAGCCCCACCCCCCTCAAGCGTTCGAACAACTAAACCTCATCAGAAGAGCAATTCCGAATTCATCAGTGCCGAAACTTAGGCACCTGCACAAGCATCTCGGGCTTGCTGGTGAGGTTGAGCACCGTGACTGAAACGACCCTCTCTGGCCATCCCTCGCATTCCTCGCAAAATCGCCCGCAAGACACCTCACCGGGAAAGAAACAAAAACAAGAAAAAACATCCAAAACTGCCAAACAAAAAAACAACATGACCAGCAACCGCGATGTCGGACCAAGCTGCGGCCTTGGACGCCTCTTCTGGCCCTCCGCCTTCTGCAGATCCAATTGCCCACGAGCTTCAAGGCGCTGGGATCCGCCTGCTCCCCACGGCCCACGCTCAAGACATTCGTGGCGATGCCTGATGCCCACTTGGCAACACTGGCACAAGTCGTTTCCTCCAACTCAGCACTAAGCAGAACGGAATGTGTGTGTATATACATATAAATCCCGGCTTCTGCCTGCCAGGTCTGGCATGTTGATTTTGCCTCTTTGACTCGGGAGAAACATACAGCACAACGTAAACCTGGGCAGAAAAAAACAATCCATATGTGTTGATACAACAACGCAACACAATCAATCAGGGCATGATCCCAGACGACAACATGGCCAATGAACATGTTGTCGTAAAGTGCCACAATATCGTAAAATGTCACCTGGTTAGACAAGAGCACAACAAACACATCGGCGAGGCCCATGATTTTGCCATGAGCAAAGTTAAGGTCAGTCCCTAAGCAGAAAATGTTAAAGACAATCGACAAACCACCCCGGCTTCCGACTTTCCAACTTTCCAAAATGGGCACAGTCATTTCACTTGGAGGCCATCTACAGTAGACGCGCACCTTCGAACTTCAGGTCGTCCATCTTCACATCTGGGCCGTTCTGGCGCAAATCGAGTGAGACAGCAGCCAAAGGCACCTGGAAGCGAGCACACCCGAATCACCAACTAGGTCCTCCAGATTAGAGAGGTTAGAATAAGGGTACCGTTTCTTGTTCTTTTTTGTCGATTTTAGTAGGGGAACCCTCCCAACCAAAAAAGGGTAAAAGGGCACTACTGGGGGACCTAGCCAATGAAGTTGGCGTATGAGATGTGTACGTGGATTGTGTTTGAAGGGGAACCCTCAACAAAAATGTGGCTTCCTCTACGACCCTACACAGGTGCACGTACACATGTGCTGGTGCAACTCGTTGGATGTCCGTGTTTGACAACTGCGTGTCTGCACGCATATCATGTAACCAATTCTTGCTGATGTCTGAAATTTACATCTTGTGTGGTAGTCAACTTCCCCTGCTAACTGGTCGCTTCCATCCATGCATACGAGCATCATTGACTCTTGGATAAAGGAAACCAGCATAATCTTGTTTGTGTGCGCTCAAGGAAACCAACAAGAAACAACCGCCTGACAGGACAATCACCCACCAGCCTGCAACATCAGCAGATCTCGGCAAGCTTGACCGCCATTGGGCCGAGAAATCTGGGCGTGATCGCCTTCGTCCGGTTGCGTGATGTTGATCTTGAGCCAAAGGCGGCCGCCAACATGCAAGCACCAAGTCTTGAGATGCAAGCGCCAAGTTCTGAGATCTAAAATCTGTCAACATGTCGTAGTTGGCAAGTCATCCCCCTCCAAGCGACACACCTTGCACTCCAGGCTGTCATTCCTATCTTTCACCTCCATGCTAAATGCCCACACTACGTTTGGCCGTCCTTTTGGCTTTGACTACCCGAAAAAACAAGGACTCGTTTCTGGGTGTCCAAGCTGGGACATCTACGAATCACTGGGTCCTAGCCAGCACTATATATTATTGCGGGAAACTAACCCTTTCCGTAACCCCAGGGCAGGCTACAGCATTGCCGAACCACTATTGCATTGCTAAGGAACCATGGCACACCTGGGTTGCCATCACCCACGCCTCCACAGCAAGCACTCGTGGCCTCAAACGGGAAAGGGGTAGCGTGCTTGGACAAGCACTCCAAGGCTGTATTTCAGCTTCCCTTGTTTGGTGGGTTGGATTGTTGGTTTCGTGATTTGGGGGTGGTTCCCATTGCCATTGCCCTCTACGGAAACCAGGGGTTCAAATCCCCAAACCACCACCAAGGGATACCTCAACTTCCCCCCCGCCCCCCCCCCCAAAACAAAATAATAATTATACAAGCAAGTAAACACATGGGAAAACGCAAAACTGGGATTTCCTTTGGGTTCGCCCTTTAAGCAACACCGAAAATTACTTTCAAATAAACACGCGCACAAACACAAACACACAAACACACAAAACAACAAATGCACAAGCACAACAAGCGCATACACACACACGGGCAAACACCTACACACACACACACGCCCACCCACCCACATACGCACGCATGCATGCACGCACGCACTCAACCCACCCACCCATCCACCCGCCCACCCGCCCGCCCGCCCGCCCGCCCACTCAACCGCACCCACCCACACACACACACCACCCACTCACCCACAAAAACCCACCGACCCACCCACACACGGGCAAACACCTACACACACACACACGCCCACCCACCCACATACGCACGCATGCATGCACGCACGCACTCAACCCACCCACCCATCACCCGCCCGCCCACCCGCCCGCCGCCGCCCGCCCGCCCGCCCACTCAACCGCACCCACCCACACACACACACCACCCACTCACCCACAAAAACCCACCGACCCACCCAACCCACCAACCCACCAACCCCACAACCCACCCACCCCACCCACCCACCCACCCACCCACCACCCACCCACCCCAACCCACCACCCACCCCCCACCCACCCACCCACCCACCCACCCACCCACCACCCACCCACCACACCCACCCACACCACCCACACACACACACACACACAAACACACACCCACACACACACACACACACACACACACACACACACACACACACACACACACACACACACACACACACACACACACACACACACAAACCCACACAAACACACACACACACACACACACACACACACACACACACACACACACACACACACACACACACAAACACACACACACACACACACACACACACACACACACACACACACACACACACACACACACACACACACACACACACACACACACACACACACACACACACCACACACACACACACACACACACACACACACACACACACACACACACACACACACACACACACACACACACACACACACACACACACACACACACACACACACACACACACACACACACACACACACACACACACACACACACACACACACACACACACACACACACACACACACACACACACACACACACACACACACACACACACACACACACAGACACACACACACACACACACACACACACACACACACACACACACACACACACACACACACACACACACACACACACACACACACACACACACACACACACACACACACACACACACCACACACACACACACACACACACACACACACACACACACACACACACACACACACACACACACACACACACACACACACACACACACACACACACACACACACACACACACACACACACACACACACACACACACACACACACACACACAGACACAGACACAGACACAGACACAGACACAGACACAGACACAGACACAGACACAGACACAGACACAGACACAGACACAGACACAGACACAGACACAGACACAGACACAGACACAGACACAGACACAGACACAGACACAGACACAGACACACAGACACAGACACAGACACAGACACAGACACAGACACAGACACAGACACAGACACAGACACACACACACACACACACAAACAACACACACAAACACAAACACAAACACACACACAAACACACGCACAAACACACACAAACACAAACACGCACACACACACACAGAGAAATACACACACACACACAGAAATGCAGACACACGCAGAGATGCAGACACAGAGACACACAGAGACACACAGAGACACACACAGAGACACACACACAGAGACACACACAGAAACACGCACACAGAGACACACACACACACACACACAGAGACACAGACACAGACACACACACACAGACACACACACACAGACACACACACACACACACTTGTGAAATTCCCCTGTCTCGGTCTTTGTTGTCATTTCTTCAATGGAAATTTTAGGTTCGGACCATGCGCCTTCATTGTAATTCTCATGGAGCTTCGTCATCCTTGGGCCCTACTCATCAGGACCCCAGACTAGGCCCAAGGATGGCCTTTGGCCTACTCCACATATTTGTAAAAAGAACACGGAGACTCCGGACAGCCGGCACTACCTCAACAATTCGCAAACTCTTCCAGCCTGCGAGTCTGACAAAGAACTCAGATCAGCCCTTGGCAACAGGGATGGACACACAGAATGAGCGACGCGGCACTTCTTGCGCCACGGCTCACAACACTGCAGCCGAGGAAAAAGAAAAAAAACAAGAAAACAGCAAAAAGAAGAAACAGACCCGATGCTCCACTAACGCCGGGGCCAGAAAAACCAACAGTTTGCTGCAGCTCCAAATGGCAAATTGCAATCAGGGGCCTACAGCATCAAGAGTATACATTCGGGGGATGGCCTCTCAGACCCAATGGGTATGCTGGCTTCTGAGGCGATAGACATCGCTGGCTTCCTCTGTTGTGCAGCAAAGCGGGAAGACTCCCAACGCTGGGTGGAACAAAGGCCTAAACAGCATCAAGAATATACATTCGGGGGATGGCCTCTCAGACCCAATGGGTATGCTGGCTTCTGAGGCGATAGACATCGCTGGCTTCCTCTGTTGTGCTGTACAGCACTTTCCATGGAATGGCAGCAAAGCGGGAAGACTCCCAACGCTGGGTGGAACAAAGGCAGGTTCCAAACTGACCTGGGGACCTCGAGGGTCAAGCTGGCATCTGAGGGTCGACTTGAATGACCAACGCTGCGTGCGAGCAGGTGGCAAGGCCCAATCAAACACAGTAGGCTATCCTACCGCAGGCAGCCCGTTAAACGAACTACTGCCAGGATCACACTTGTGAAATCCCCCCTCTCTCAGTCTTTGTTGTGTCTCATTTCTTCTGCGAGGGTCAGGATCAAGCCCAGTGGGCACACTCTAGGTTCCGCGTGGAGTTTCGTCATCCTTGGGCCCTACTCATCAGGACCACAGACTAGGCCCAAGGATGGCCTTTGGCCGACTCCACATATTTGGAAAAAGAATACGGAGACTCCGGACAGCCGGCACTACCTCAACAATTCGCAAACTCTTCCAGCCTGCGAGTCTGACAAAGAACTCAGATCAGCCCTTGGCAACAGGGATGGACACACACACACACACACTCACACTCACACTCACACCCACACACACACACAGACACACGCAACGTCCAAGCGCGCGCACGTGTTTGTACACACCCACACCCACACCCACACCCACACCCACCCCAACACACACATCCTATGAATATATATATATATGTATGTATGCACAAACACTCCAAGACTTGATCCCAACCCAACGGGAAAAACATGGGACCCCGCTCCATATGTTGTTTCCGTGGCCCCAATTCATGAGCTGTATAATCTCCCACCAGAATCAACTGAATCAACCAGCCGGGGCTTCTGTGACTCCATCGGCAGGCCTTTCAAACCACTCTTCTTGATTTGAAGGGGAGTCATGGTTCCCTGGCATTAGCAAGTCGGGTTGCTTATCCCCTTCCTGTCCTGGCTCCGGGGTGACTGAACAGCAAAAGCACGTCTTGCCCTTACAGCAAATCGAAAGAAACCCTTTGCATCCTTTGCCTGGCCTGGTGCACCGAACTTTCCAAAAGGAAGGTCAAGTCTTCCAAAAGGGGTCCGTGCATGCCTAGCCATGTTTATTGGCAGGGCCACTCCTAAGTCCGAGTCCCCCGACTGCGCCAAGTCATGCAGCAGAGCCGTCAAGCTTGGCTCCTCCGAGTGGAACATGGAGGGGCATGTCAAGCCAGTGGTCAGTGGACCCCCTTACGTTTTGAAGGGAGTCTGTTCCGCTTCTTTGGGTTCACCTTGGGGAGGGGTAACCAAAAGGAAGTCTCCCCCTTTCATCACAAAGTCAAGGGGGTCTATTGGCCCAACATCACGGCACCCAACGCATCCAGCAAGCCTCAACCGCCCTGACTTCGAAGAACAACGTACACGTGGGCGTGAGTTTATCATATTTCAACGTCAGTCCCTGGTCGCGAAAGAGGTGTAAGTCACAACAAACAAAGTGGCATTCAAGCAGTCTACCCAAACTCATGTATCCAATCAAAAGGACGGACAGTAGCACCGGTCAATGCTTAGCACGTTCCAAATGTGTGCTCGGAAACTAGGACTAAGCTAGGACATGGGACCGTCCCATTTGGTGTCGTGAGTCGATGCTTAACCTGTCCGCAATTCAGGGAGGGGACCAAAGTGTAGGTCTTCGGGGTCCAAGCTGACCTACCTGGCGAACGCAGAGCTTAAGCAACCTACTCACGAACGCAGGACATGGAAAAGGAAGGCTTTCTGGAAGCCTAACACATGGGCCATACCAAGAGATCAGGTTCAAAGTCGGCTGGTCTTGCCACAGCTTGCCCCTCCCCTCATGGAAGCTCACCAAACCAGGGTCCATGAAAAAAGGGTACCACACATAGATATATATATATATATATGTACGCATACATATATACATACCTATATATATATATGTGTATATATATATATATATATTCTTGTCTATGGAGTTGCCCAGTGGTTTCGCTTCATGAAGCTAACTTCTGGAAACCACCAGACCCGGCAAGGCTGGCCTTTGAAACCGCGCTGACCCAATCAAAAGGGAGCTGACATGGGCTGACCCCAAACAAAACTGAAAGACCCTCAGAAGGCGAAGGCCGCTTTTGCTCTGCGGCCCGTATCTTGGAACCTCCCCATGTTTGAAGGTTTCAAAAAGCAAATCCAACAGTTCCCAGCCGGAGCCGTTTTTGGGATCCGCCCAACCCCGACCAGGTTGTCACACTTTTCCGCGCTCGGATCTCATTTGCTAAACGGAGCAAAGGCCTGCTGCAGAAGCCAACAGGCCATGGTAACGAAGTAACCGCCCAGCGGCGCCGCATACACTTCTCAGCGACAGAGAAATTTGGCTGCGAATCGTTTGGTAGCAAAAAAGGGCCACGCCTTGTTGGTGGATCATTTTATGTGTCGCTGAATCTCTAGGTACAGATGGAGAGGATTGGACTCTTTCAGAATTCCCATAATTAGGCCACTGTAAAGACGTTTACAACCGCAAACCCGCCAATTCGTCCCTTCGAAAGGACACCACATAACCCATGGCAAACTGGATGAAGCCAGCCCAAACCAGTCCAGACCACAGTGAAGCTATCACTTAGGAAGAACCTGATTTGTCCATTCTACCTCTATCAAAAACCAATCCAAGCACCCCCTGAGGGGGGGGAATTCGGGCGCTGCTGGCCTGACCTGCATCATCTAGGTCCTCCAGATTTGAGAGGTTAGAATAGTGGATCAAAGAGTTGGAACTTGTAGGGAAATGATGACGGCTAGGTCCTCCAGTAGAGAGGTTAGAATAATGTGGTGCCAACTTTTTCTCTGTAGTTGATTTTAGTAGGGGAACCCTCCCCCAAAAAAGTTGGGTTAAAAGGGGACTACTGGGGGACCTAGTCCTGTTTCCCCACTTGGGTGTGGGTCAAAATGTTGTTCCACCAGGAATTGGACCGCAGGTCATGTTTCCACTTCAGGCAAGCCATTTTGGGGATTCATATTTTTCACCCACAGCCACTTGAGAAACGTGGTTTCCCTATCAATAATCAACGGTTCTCCGCCAAACGCCAACGCTGTTGAAACCGCAAGGGTAGTATCAGGGCCTAAATGATCAGAATGGAGGTTCGGGGTACTTTAAAACCATTCAGTCATGATAATAGGAGTAAACCAAGTTCTTAGTAATTCCAAAACCCTTTGCACATCAGAGAAATCATGAAGGGATACCATTTTTTGCCATAATGTTTCTACACTCGTTGCTCTTTCGGCAGGCAGCCTTGTTCGTGCAGAACAATTCCTGTTGGTTCCCTCGAACTCACTTTTCGTGGCGCAAAAATGCTCGAACTTTTCGTGCAGCTGAGCACATCTAGGGTGATTCTTCTCGGATGCTCGAGCCCTTTCTTGCGCCCTCCCCCGAACCCAAAAAAAAAACGCAAAGCAACTAATTACCCTCCTGCCCACTAACATGGAACCTATGAGAGGGTGCCTTTTAAAGGAAACAATCTTCCAGGACCCCCCAGTCAAGTTCCATGTTAGTGGATGGGTAAATGATTTTGCAGCACAACAAACATGTTTTTGGATGTTCCAATTCTTCCCCCCCCCAACAAAAAACAACAACAACAACAACAACAACAACAACAACAACAACAACAACAAAAACAACAAAAACAACAAAAACAACAAAAACAACAACAACAACAACAACAACAACAACAACAACAACAACAACAACAACAACAACAACAACAACAACAACAACAACAACAACAACAACAACAACAACAACAACAACAACAACAACAACAACAACAACAACAACAACAACAACAACAACAACAACAACAACAACAACAACAACAACAACAACAACAACAACAACAACAACAACAACAACAACAACAACAACAACAACAACAACAACAACAACAACAACAACAACAACAACAACAACAACAACAACAACAACAACAACAACAACAACAACAACAACAACAACAACAACAACAACAACAACAACAACAACAACAACAACAACAACAACAACAACAACAACAACAACAACAACAACAACAACAACAACAACAACAACAACAACAACAACAACAACAACAACAACAACAACAACAACAACAACAACAACAACAACAACAACAACAACAACAACAACAACAAACAACAACCGCGCAAAACCCCCCCCCCCCCAAAAAAAAAAAAAAGAAAGTGTTTTTTTGCCGCCCGGGGCTCTGAGCAATCCCAGGTCAAAGGGAATGCCCATGAAGGTCAGCGTCACCGCATGGAGCTTCTCGTGCCGCAGAAACGCCTCCACCTCCTTCGGGTGGCTAACGCCCAGCACAGAGCTCCTGGCTGAGAGCGGCAAGGTCGTTGGCAAGCAAAGGGGTTTTAAGGCCAACAGCTAGGTCCTCCAGTAGAGAGGTTAGAGGCTAGGGTACCGTAACTCTTTCTTTTTTTTTTCCGGTAGTTTATTTTAGTAGGGGAACCCTCCCCCAAAAAAGGTGAGAGGGCACTACTGGGGGACCTAGACAGGGTTGTCTACAGAAACATGGCCTACGAAAAACCAAGAAAGAGTTTATACCAGGATGGCATTGGAACGGAAAAACTAAACCGAAGAGGTTGTTTACGTAGAAGTAGCTTTAACGGAAAAGTCCAAAAAAGAAAGTTGTCTTTTGGGAGGGAATGAGGATCGCGTTACCCAGTGATATATCATCGATGCTTCTGGGGGCTGAGGTGGACCCTTCGATTCTTCCACCAGCCAGGGAAAAAACAAAGCCGAATAGAAAGGAGGTTGTGTAATGGTAACTCTGGATAAATAATCCTGTGGTTGATTAACATTCGGTGAGTAATATGGGGTGTCCGCTTTTGGAGGGGAACACCCCCTATCAATAGGACAAGCTTACCCTGGAGTCAACAGCACACAAAAGTTGTCACTGGTTGAATTGAAACCCTAGGCGAAAGCGGTTTAGTCCTTTTGGAGGGGAATCCCAAAGGAGTATGTTTGAAGCAACAGTTTTTCTAGGGGTAGCTTCCCCATTCTTTCCCGTGATCCTTTTTTCTAGAAAACCACCAAAAACCCTGGAGAAATGACTGGTTTGTTGAAAAGAACGATGGCTGAAAAGAATGGGGAATCAGCCCCTAGAAGTTGTCCCTTTCAAACATGCTTGAATGCTGGTGCTTGGGCAGCTCCCATTTGCTGGTATGCTCGTGTGGAAACCTGTCCCTTGCTCAGCTGCTCATCCTAAAAGGTAAGACAGGTACAATGCACCCTCGGTTGCGAAATCTGCCCCCCTGCTAAAAGTGAATAACTTTTTAGTGGTTTAATGTGGAAAATCCATTAGTTGGCAAAAAGTTGTCCAGTCCCAACATCCAAGCAAAATGCACCAAAGCACCAACGTGGTTCTTGTCCCAAGATGATGACCAAAGGCCTCCTGAACAGAATACCAAGGAGAGGTTGCTTAAAGACAAAAGCGGTTTAGGTCCATCCTTAAGTAGGGGATGGGCAGGCCAGTTCCACTCTCTAGTCCCACAAAAAGGGACATTGAACTTCATTCTATAAACGATTGATGGGAATGCCGGGGTGACCCCCAATTGCTGAAGGTTGGCCTCTGACTTCTCTTCACCCTTTGTGCTTTTCAGGAATCGAGATTCCTTGTGTCCAGTCTCCCTCTAATTGGTTTGATGGTTTGAAGGTATTGGCGGTTTCCCATTTCATGACCCTCTACAAGCAAGGGTTCTGATCCCCCAAACCACTCATCCGAACCACCAATCCCAACCACTGAAGGGCTACCTATTCTCACCGTTGACAATTTTCAAAAGAAAAAAACAAAACAAGAATCAAGATCGAACTCCTTTGAGCGGATCGGACGTGGTATTCCCCACATACACCACCATTTGGGGGTGAATCCGGTCATGTGAGGTCCTTATAATTCACCCAGATTAGATTCAAGGGAAAACCCAAAAAGAAGCACCGCCATGTTCGGGGGGCGCCGCCTTGGCCAAAATCACCCTAAAGTGGCTGGTGTCGTATTGACTTCCACTTAAAACCACGCAAAAAGCGACGTGAGTGTGCGATATTGGATGATGCATCATATCACAAAAAAAAGAGTTTGGGAACTTGCTGGATATAATCTACTATTCTTGCCTACATATTCACCACCCCTACAAGTAGTCGAGAGAACACACACACATATCGCAGACAGAGCGGGGGAACGTCAGACTTCAATGGATTCCCGCCTGTACGCGTCCAGGGCAGCCTCCTTCCTTTCCGGTGACACGGGCGATGCCGACCTCAGGTTTTCCGGGAAGGCCCTCTGTTGACTGGGGGAAATTTCAACGTTGCTGGGACAATTATGGGTTTGTCGTCAAATTGAGATAGTTGTCGGTTTGTGACCCAAAAAACGGCCGCCCATGTGCAATAAAGTTAAAAAGATCCAACCCCAACGACCCCCCACGATTTGGGACAAAAATGCCTTGGGCCCCCTCAAAACCGGTTTCGCATAGAAAAGGGCGCCGTCTTCTTGCCACATGCCGAACGCACGCCCAAGGTATATGTGAGTTTCCGTTGGGAACTCAGGTTAACATGGAACCTGACTGAGGGGTCCTAGAAGACCGTGTTCCTTAAAAATGGGCCCTATGGTGCGTTCCACATGTTGACAGGGTACCGACAAACAAACAACTGGTACCACCTTTACCAAGGTGGTACCAAGGCAACGGCTACCACTCGGCCAGTCGACTCGACCAATTCCAGCTCCTTCAGCAGATCGATGCCAGCGGACAACTGAGCGTTCACCCTGTGACCGAAAAAGATCAGGAGTAGCGTCAAGGTGCCTAAGGCGACGCCGTACAAGGCCGCATAACCTCACTTGCGGCACATATGAGCCACGGACCATATTACTTACTCTTGGCTCAATTGGGTAGGCCCCCCAGGTCTTCCCCAAGCTAACAACAGACTACCACTCATACAGTCGTTGTTCATAGGGTTGAGGGTACCCTGTTCAGCTGGGTTTAAAGGGAAACAAAAGGAAGGAAATCATTTCGGAGCTCCCCCTATTTTGAGCAGTGCCCATATACGTTGTGGTAGCAAAGTTGGATACCCATTCTGACTTGTTTACTTTCAGGGGCTATCACAACTAGGACCTCACTCTGCCCAAAGGAACTTTAACAAAAAGGGAGTGATCATTTTTTGGATTGCCCAAACTGAGCCAAATCACTCCAAACAAAGTGATCACCTTTGGGGTTGAGTATGGACCAGACTAGGAGAAGCAATGTCAACAGCTGAGTTCACTTCAGGCAAGTAGCACATTATCGCAAACTTTTGCTTGCCTCGCACCAGGGCGAAAGCTGTCGCCGTGATCAGCAACATCTCTGCCAGCAAGCACAGACCGAAAATGGGCTTCCGCTTGCTCAAAGTGAAAGCTGCATCCTCATACAAGGCCTCACTTTCGTGCTTTTCTACGGAGAACGGACAAAGAAAAGTACAGCCCCATGCTTGTTGGAGCAAACAAGGACTCCTTTTTGGCAGTGGCTCAAAAAACCGGTACCAAAATGGAACCCTGGCAAGTGGAAACATGGACCAAAACCTGCGTAACCCCTTCTGGTTAATTTTGAGCCACAGCCTTTTGAATGTCTGCTTTTCGAGGGCCAGCCTCCCGAGACATCCTCAACATTCGCCTCCTGGTGTCAAGGGCTTCCCAGCCTCGAAGTCAGTTTGAGAAGCCCTCAAAAAACGAAATAAATTACTTCCATTTGGTTGACGCCCCAGGAAAAAATAAAAATATGTCCAGTAGTGATGAAGTCCTTCTAAAACCAACAGGGAAGAAACAACCATATTCTTAATTCTTAACCAATTGGAAGATTCTCCTGGAAATTCAACGTAAAATCCGGAGACTGCCAGTTTTCAGACAAACCCGGAGACGGACCCAGAAGGGAACCCAGGCCCCTCAAAGAAACCCCAAAGAATGTGAGCCATAGTCAAAGCCTGGTATTAAACAGGTCTACCCGAACCAATGCAAATAATTGAAAGCTCGGTTGCCTTCTGCTCCCCTGCTAGGTTTAACTTTTAGTGGTTTAATGGAAAACCCATGAGTAGGCAAGGAGTTAAAGTCCTAACATCCAAGCAAAATGTACCAAAGAAAAGGACGGCCGCACAAATTGATGCTTGGGACTGTCCCCCAAGCTTCATCCACCCAGAATCTGATGCTGGCTCTTGTTTAAACCACTCTGTTGAAACCACCTCCTTTTTGGATCCCTTACGTGTAAGCAAAGCATGTACTCAGGAGTTGATGTGTGTGTGTGTTTTTGTTTTTTTTAAGGGCATGACCTTTGGGGTTGACTAAACATATAACATAAAAAGGATTGATTGAACATATAACCGGCAAGAGGCTGCCCGTGTCTCCATCCACCAAAGGAGGGAGACCACACCATCGGAGCCGGGACTTGGGTCGTCGGAGTCCCAAGGAAAGGCATCCGGGGCCAGGAATTCCTGTGGCCAAAAAGCCGGCTGACAAAAAGGTTAACACCCAAGACTTACACCCAAAGGGTTAAAACATGTTTTGCAAAACACGGCAAACACCGTGCTTTTTAAGGGCGAAAGAGACTGAACAAGAATGAGGAGGAAGACGCAAAAAAAGAGCACGATGAAACGGTAAGCTAAGTCTGACAAGGATTCCAGGAACCTCTTGTTGCTGATGGCGGACCGAATTCGGTGAAGAGTGCTCAATAACTCCCCCTGCAGGGATGACTGTTTCGACAACAGACCGTTGAGCAGTCTCAAGGATTCACTGGTTGCTTGAAGATGATAACATCCCATCACCAGCAAACACATACAGCCGAGTATAACCCATGTAGAGTCAAAAGCAGCCAAACGCTCAACTACACCATCACTGGTATTCCTCTCGTCTGCAGCAATGCAAATCCAGCTACGGTTGAAAGTGCTGGACATGTTGTAGACCATGTGCTCATATACATCTGGATTGCTCAGAGACGATCCATCTGGCAAAACATCGTCGGTCAATTCAGGCAACAGCTGCAGTACGATGCTCGCATAGCCAACCAGCTTTGATGGCAAGATCAGTCCAATTCCACAAAGAACCCCAAAGGCAAACCATAGCCACCAAAAGTAGTTTCTGTTGCAGCAAAAGCAAGGCCTGCCTGCATGTAGAACTGTTGCGTGCTGATCATAGTTGCTGATGTTTGGGTAGTGACACAAAAGCAAACCAGCTCCGCCGTGCTTGGCCAACTTGTTCACCCAGTCCTCCTGCTCCTTGCTTGCTGAAACAAATCTGAGCTCTGCTGCTTGAGGTGGTGGGCGTGAATATAAATACTGTTCATCAATGTTCACACGAACTTTTACATCATCTCCATGACGGCTGTTTATCAAGCGTGCATTCCACCCGGGTTGGCCTTCACAGTCTCCGTCTGATTCGCTGCTCCAGTCATCCGTGCACATGCTGGCTGTCTCATCTGATTCATGCGAGCCATGGTCCGAGGAATCTGACTCCTCATAGTAGGTCCAATGGCGACGGAGCCTCATAGTGTGGTGGCCATCATCCCGATAAAACTTGATTTTCTTCTTTCCCACACTCACACACAGTACGCTCTGGAATCTTCGGCCACCGCACCCGCAGCCCAAGCCTTGGTTGCTGTTGACCCCTCTGCAAAAAGTGAATAACTCCTTGTGGGTTTAAAATGGAAAACCCCACTTGATTTCAACCAACAAGTTAAAGTCTAAAGATCTAACCCAATAGCAGTGGAGAAGCTGCCATTATGCCTCTGGTGTCTCCATCCAAACCCAAACACGATGTTGGATATCCTCTGCCCCCAGCTCCTGGTCAGCGGCGCGGTCTCGTAGACTCGGTCCAGAGCTTGCGACTTCCAGATCACCCACCAAGCCACCACAGGGCCCAGCACTTCAGCGAACCTCTGGGTCAAGAGGTATGAGAATGGCAAATAGGGAAGATCATGACAGTGCTCCCAGGAGCGATGAATCTGCAGGTTCCTCTCCAGCAAACTGGTAACTGCTCCCAAGCATACACTTAGAAGCCACCAATTCTTCAAGGAGGACGCAACAACGCTGCCGCTCGCTGTCATGACTGCAATGCACCGCTGCTTCGATGTATTGCTGTCCAGCTGCCACCAAACCCCGAACCATCCAATGCCGAACCAAACCAAAAATCGCACGAAATCGCCGACGGCCAAAAGAGACCAAAGCTCCTGCGGGAAATGCTCTTGCACTGCAGTCAAATTCAAGAGGCGCCTGCCAAGCTGTGCCTCAAAGCCCGATTGCCTCTTTGGCATCGGCGTCTGCTTGCCCGGCGGCCGATCTCATGCAGGCTACTTGAGATGGTAAGAAACGCGGAAGCACATTGATCTAGGAAATGAGGCCGGTCCCATCAGCCCTCATATGCCCTCGTATGCCCTCAGGGTGAGATCCTTTTGCCCCGGAGCTGGTTCTTTGCCTGATTCCCATGATTGTTTCCTCTAATTGGCTCCTATTCGCGCCTTTAACCATCAAAGGACTTTAATGCTCAGTGTTGATTAGTCTTGTTTCATTTGACACCTATGTATGACTTGTTGGTGGTGCATATCAAATTGCCATGACAACGAGCTGCCTGGTACTGTGAATGAAATGCTTGTTTCCCCCAGGTTTTGTGGGCAGATTTCGAACTCGAACTCGCTGCGCAGCCACGATTCGAAGACCGGATCAAGACATCCACGACATCCAAGACATCACAACGCCACAAGGGAGTTTCTCCAAACAGTCCGCGAAAATAATCACCAAACAGGCCCACCATTCAAGAAACACTCAGTGCGTTCATGCAGCACACTGTGCACAAATAGTTGAGCAACACAAAATGCCGACTCGGTAGAGACACATGCTTCCAATGAACGCCTTCGAGTTGGCACCCAGACACCCCAAAGGGCTATGAATTACAAACAGGGCGGTGCCCAAAAATCAAGGAACACGTGCATGGCGCTTATACTGGGGGCTGGCTGCAATCGAACCAAGCGCAGCTTGTTCCAAATGAGTGGTGTGTGTGTGTGTTTAGTCCTTTCCAGTTCATACACGTATGTGTTTTGCCAATCTTCCGCCAAGCCTTCCGCGGCACTCCCGCAGCTCGCATGGGTAGCTTCTGCGAAGCGTGTTGCTAGAAAACTGCTTCCGCAAGCTTCCACGGACATAGGTTTGCAGCACTAATGGAGGCATGCGACCACAGTTGTTAGCCTCCTTTGCGAGCTTTTTGCTGGTCTTGCGGCGGTTGCATGTCTGACTGCTGCTGCTGTTACCGCTGGCAGGTCTTCTTCGCCGACGAGCACTCTCCTAGGTCTTCCAGTAGAGAGGATAGAATAGAATAAGGGTACCCTTTTTCTGTAGTCTATTCTAGTAGGGGAACCATCACCCAAAAAAGGGTTCAAAAGGGCACCTAGCTGGGGGACCTATGTAAAGCTTCCGCGTCTGGGATTATGTTTCTTGGCTCCCTTTTTTTTACGGTTTGGATACGCGCTTTTGTGGCCTGGTTGTTTTGAAGCAATAGCTCTTTTAACATCCTACAGGCTTGGACCCCACAAAAACACCACATCCAAGCCGCAGATCTTGGCAGGCGCCTGGGTAACTTCATTCAACGCTGCTTCCTTGGCTCGCTTCGCACAAAACCCTTCCGCAAAGCTTCTGAAGCCTTCCGCGACTCTGGCGTGGAACACGCGCATTTCCGAAGAGTAATATCCGTACCTTTGGACACCCAACTGAGTAACAAAAACACAACTCAAACTTTGCAAAGGCTGCGTCGTGTCCAGCACGCCTTCACTTCACTTCTTAATTATCGAAAGGGTTCGCTTCCACCTGAAAGCCGCGAAAGTGAGGGATGCCGTGTTGGCATCCGAATCCGCAATCCTCTCGGACATGCTCCGATTTGTCCATTGGTCAACTATGGAGCATGCAGGGTGCATTCTCCAAATTCAGTTTTGCAAGTAAAACTAGGTCCTCCAGTACAGAGGCTAGAATAAAAATACCTACTTTTTTCTGTAGTCTATTTTAGCAGGGAAACCCTCTCAGCCAAAAAAGGGGTTACAAAGGGCACCTAGCTGGAGGACCTAAACATGCACCGGACGTGGCCAACGGTGCCGCGCCTTGATCGTGAGTCCTTGAAGAACGCCGCAGGCATGCGCAGCAGCCTGCGGTCGTCCAGGTTGTGCGGTGCACGGGGACCCTCTGGACTGGATCTTGGTTGCTGTCGGCCCTGCAAAAAGTTTAACATTTTCGGGGTTTAGTACGGAAAACCCCATTTGATTTCAACCAAAAAGTTAAAGTCTAAAGATTCAACCCAATAGCAGACAAGGGATGTCACAGCATATGTGCAACCATGCTTGAAGGGAGTTCCTCAGAAAAAAGTATGAGGGTTGATCAAAAGGTCCTTTACGCAGGATGACCATTAGGGGAAACCAGTAAAAAGATGATATTTCCGACTAAATGGGAAAAGTTACTCATGGTCATTTGGGGGCCAGGAATATTGATCAACCACCATATAGTCATCTATGAGCCCCTGGTCTAAAGCGCTAGCCCAGAAACTCCACCATGGCTAAGTGAACCAGCCCACACAGGGGCATCAGGTATTTCCACAAATGGACATATCCTGCTTTGTCTACAGTCCAGCGCGTGCTCGAGCATTGCAACGACTCACAAGACACTCTCCGGCAAGGAACTCACGAATTGTCCAGGGGAGCTGCATGTTGACCATGGCTGGCGAGATTAGTGCGGGCTTTTTGTAATTAAAGTGTTTTTAGCCTCTCTTACTAGATCCTCTTTACGGGGAAATACGAAAAAATAATATATATTTTTTTAAAAAATGGGCCCATACCGATAGCCCATCTAATCTTCACAGGTCAACATGTGGGGTCAGCATCGTTGACTCTAAACGAAGAACCAAACAAGGAATGCTGGGGATCATCCTACTGCCTACTTCTGCGTTAAAAAACAAATAGTGCTTTTGATATGCGCAAACACGCGTCTCTATTCATTGTGGTCCTCCTTCGAATTGTTGCTCTCAAAAAGGGAGCCTAATTTCAGACACTCCCATTGTCAGGGTTCCTTGCGTGTGCCCCGTAAACATCACCCCAAAAGGAAACTGAGCTTAAAATGGCAACCAACATGTGGGTCCGTGTTGGTTTTTTGGGGGTACCCTTTGAAACCTGGATCAAAGGGAAACCAAAAGAAAGCCCAAACCATGTTTTGGGCTTCCCTCGGAGAAACTCCCATGTAAAGCTCGGCCAAAAGAAACATGTGAGGGCCCCTCATTGCACTGACTTGCCCGCCCAAATCATCGGGTTTTGGCTTCAGGAAGGCCGGTAGTTCCGAGCGTCTTATTGGAAGGTACCCACTTCTTTCTGACCGGGCCAAAGGGGACTCAAGGCGATGTTTAGGGTGCCCCCGGACAGCGTGTGACTTTCAATTCATGGCCGTTCAGGGCACGCAAACATGGCATTCGCATGATCGCGCACATACATTGACGAACAAAGACTCTTTGCAAAAACAACGGGCTCATCTTTTGATGCTCACAGTGGATTGGCCAGCATAAAAGTGATGTTGTTTGTTTGCCAAATAGTTGTGTCAATAAGTATAAAGTCCAGGAACTCAGAAAGCCAGTACTGCACTAGTACGCTGAAATCTCCACCCTCGCGCAATGCATTTTGGGGAGACGAGCTTCTCCGAAGCTTGCTCATGAGAGCAGGGACTCTCTTGCACACCTTGCAATAGCCTCCCCAAACTCGTGGAAACCGATTGAAGGGGAAGGCTGCTCAGTGAGCAAGCATCCGGCCAACCGGGCTCCCTTCTCCAAAAGGAAACACGGGGATCCTTCGTCATGCCGACAACTTGTGCTTCAGCCTCTTGCTCGGGGTTTCAGGGCTTGGTGCACCATTCGGTACACCAAGGATGCGTGCGTCTTGCCTGGCTCCACCCAAACCAGCAGGTTGCGAAAAGCTGGCGTGTTCACTTGCGATCCGTCCCCAAAACCGCCAGTTAGGCAAGCACACAGGATCAGCCTCCTACTCCTCCCCTTGCGCCCGGTTTGAGGTAGCGAGCGCCCGGTTTGAGGTAGGGAAACGCTGGCCCTCTCCTGCGATCAAAGTAAAACCCCGTTCGGTGGTAGTGTTGACAGGAAACTTCCCCTTGTTTCTGACTTTGATACCTCGAAACCGCACAATGCATGCGCCCAAAAACCAGTGGTAGTCGACGCGGGTCATCCTTTTCACCAACTTCATCATACGAACCACAGTGATAAACACGAAGACACCAACTCGCCTTGCCCAAAAGGCAAGTAGAAAACAAAAGCTTCGCCTTTTGGACCCACTAAAAGGACCACTTGCTGGGAACTCAAGGACAATGAGGGGTCTGAATTTCCTGGTTGCTTGGACCCGACACACACCACACCAGTGTAAGCTTATACCTTGCCCGTTGACCAAGGGCTTTGTCTCAAAATTGGGACCCAAAGTGAATGGTTGCCTTTTGGTTTAGCCTTAAAGTACCCTTCAAGAAAGACATGCCGAGTCTCCGGCCAAGGCCATATCAAAGGGCAGCGCATAACTTGGCAGAGCGCGGCCTCACACATCGCGTGCCAAGTGCTTAGCAAACAACCACTGCTACCAAGGAAGCCAAGCTCGGACAAAAGTTTTAGGAATTCCCGCCAAAGGTAGTACATATTCTTATCACCACAGTTTAAGATGCCCCTTTCGGCGGCAGGTGTCGACATGTTTGTTCCAACCCGCCGTCTCCAGCTCTTGATGCCCTAGTTATCTGCAAATGAGGGTGATGCGGCTGGATGTGGTTGGTTCACTTCTGAAACACTTGCCTTTGAAGGTGCCACTGAACAAGCTCAAACGGCGGATTTCCTGAGATTGCCTGCCCTTCAGCCATCCCCAAAGAAGATCCCAAGAACAGGATAGTCGCATCTCGCACTCGCTGCAAACGCCCTCCCCCAAAACATGTTGTTCCCAACTCAACTTGTCGTCGTCCCAGAAGGTGTCAGTTTGCAAAGTACCCAATGCTTCCAGAATCTGATATGAAGACAATTAATAAGAAACCTTCATCATAAGGCTCGGAATTTCTTTGTTTGCCCTCGTATCTGCGAGCTCGCCATTCAATCAAACATGGAAGCACCTTTGACGGCTCAACTTCACCACCGTAGCATTCGTATTTTATTTGGTTCGAACATAGCACAGGCAGAAGCGACAAACCAAACAACAAAAATATTCGGAAACCATCCGGAACGCGAATTGCATATGTGATGTAATCGCGGGCGTGCATGAAAGTGGGGGTGCCGGCGTGAATGTTCAAGGGCGCCGGGGCATGCATGCCAGCTCAGGCAAGGGCGCCGCGCACAGAAGCATGCGCGGGCAAACGCCTACGCTGGTGCGTGCGCGTGAAACGAGCGGTGCCCGGGACAGCTGAGGCAGCCGTGCACATGAGTTGCGGACGCGCAAAGAAGCACGTGGGCAAAAAGAAGCAGCGAGCGGTGCCAGGATGGCTGTTCGTTGGCACCGGGGTGCCAGGCCCCTCAAATCCAGCTTGGGCCCCACGTGGTTTCCTGTGGTTTCTCTTGCTGCGACCCAAAAAAGGGTATGGGTGCGGATTTATTCCGGGATTTGTTTTTTTGTCTTTCGTCCGGGCCAGTAAAATGTCGTATGTCACAGTATTTTATCGCGAAATTGACGTATTTTACGCTAGCCCATCAGCATCCCCAGCAGCGTTTTCAACATCCCCCGCATGTCCGATCAACATCCCCAGCATCACCAACAAATCGTGGGGAACAAATTCTAAAAAGAGCTGGCGGGTCAACGGGGTCGAAAAAATGATGATTCAAATAGGAGGGTATTTGAATCCCTGTATTATTATTATTCAAACAAAACTAGCGGGGGGGATCGGGGGGGTTGCAGCCCCCCCATGATGTTCGAGAAGTGATGATTCGTACAGGGGTGCAATTAAATCTATGTGCAAAAAGACTAAAAAGCAGCGCGGGGGGGGGGGGGGGGGGGGCTTCGAAGAAGTGATGATTCAAATAGGGGTGCAATTAAATCTCTGCAGAAAATGTAAAAAGTACCGGGGGGGTTTGGGGGGGGGCGGCAGCCCCCCATGATGTTCGAAGGAGTACATACATACAGACATACATAGATTACATAAAACACCGTGTTTTACAGCATTTTCTCGTCGCGAGTTTGGATGATCGAAAAAGTGATGATTCAATTAGGGGTGCAATTCAAGAAATCTAAAAAGTAGCGGGGGGGGGGGGGTTGGGGGGAGGCAGCCTGCTCCCCCCAAGATGTTTGAAGAAGTGATGATTCAAACAGGGGTGCTCTGCAAACAACCTAAAAAGTAGCGCGGGGGTTGTGGGGGCGGGGGTCCCCCCATGATGTTCGAAGAAGTGATGATTCAAATAGGGAGGAACTGGTGATGCTGAGGATGCGGGAAGCCAAAGCCAAAAACTAATGAAAGGGTGCAAAAGCCAAAAAGCCCGGAGAGGAACTGGGAAAGCAGAGGATGCAAAAAATCAAGCCACCAAAAGCCGCATAAACCAGCGAAAAGCCGCAAAAGCCAAAACGCCACGATGCGAAAAGCCAAAGCCAAAAAGCCACCAAAAGCCGCATAAACCAACAAGAAGCCGAAAAGCCAAAAAACCAAGAAGCCAAGAAGCCGAACAGCCAAGAAGCCAAGGAACCAAAAGCGAAACAACAAAGAAGTAATAAAAAATCCCCTCCAAAGGGTATCCTCAAAACAGGAAATACCCTCTAGCCAACAAACATGCACTGGGTCCTGGCTCTCCATGTTCGTAACAGGCCCGTCTGGCTACACCAAGCGTGTCATGTTTTTCAAGTAATGTTCACACAGGATTAATAAACCCGTTCCAGTATTAGGGGGGTGTTGCCTCCAAAAGTGATGAATCTCCACCAAAAGGGGACACCCCCTATTAATCAACCAGGGGTTTATTAATCCGGGGTTAACATTAAAACAACCCGGGGGCATCGACGCTGCTAAGGGCCCCGGGCCCATCTGCTTCAAAGCCTGTTGAAATCGTTGGACCTCATGCAGCAAAAGCAGCGCGGCAGCCTCTAGCTCCTGAAGCCGGCCGCGAAATAAAAGCCGGGACATACCCGCCCCGAAACTTGTGGCTACACATGGGCTATGGGTACATAGCCCAACCACACCTTGCAAGACTAGGTTCTGTAGAGAGGTTAGAATAAGGGTACCCGTTGAATTTCTTTTTTTATCTGTAGTCTATTTTGGTGGGAGAACCCTCCCCCAAAAAAGGGTAAAAGGGCACCACTGGGGGACCTAGATAAGATGTTTAGGTGCGGTATGTCCATTTGGGGTGTGTGAGTTGGCGCTTAGATGTTAGGTTTCATCGACATTTGTCAAGTATGTCAAATCGAGCTCTTGCCCTTCTAAACCCTGCTTGACAAACCCAGCTTGTTCCACCCCCGACTTGTTTGCCACTTGAATAAGTCAATTGTTCCTTTGACCAACCCGGTCTTCAATGATTTATCATTGCCATGTATAACAAATATGTGTGTTCTCGTTGCCCTTTTGACTTTGGGTTTCCTTCAGACTTTTCTTTCGAGCAGCTAGCGCGTTCAATTTCCATGTTGCCGACTCCGAGTTCCCTGGTTGCGTCATCTCCTTCCTGGCACTCATCTGGACGTGTCTTTTGAGGCTCTTGGGCCCACTCTTGTGCGATTAGCACCAGCCATATGGCTGTGGCTCAAGAAAACGTAGCAAAATGGCACTCGTGGAACATGGAACCAACGGCTAAAACCTGCGTAACCCTAGCTGTTTAAGTTTGCACAGCCAAAGGGTGGATGATCCACGGGCAAAGCGCTCGATCACTCGCCCCCTGCCTCTTGCAGGGGCACCGTCTCTCCCGATGTGTGCAGCAGCATGCGATGAAGCAGCGGCGTCGACCTGAACCCAAGGGTTCCCCTTGACAGGGGGGTAATGAACCATCCCGTGGGAAATTAATCTGTCCAAAAGTGGAACACTGTAAGTAGGTCCTCCAGTAGAGAGGTTGGAATAAGGGCACCCATTTTTCTGTAGTCTATTTTAGTAGGGGAACCCTCCCCCAAAAAAGGGTAAAAGGGGCACCACTGGGGGACCTAGGTAAGGAACTACTACTGCAGCCCAAAGTCTGAAGGTTTTATCACTTCATGGCGTGCCCAGAAAGCAACGTTCAAACGGAGGGAGTGAGGCTGAATGGGTGCATTGCAGCTAGAAAGGATGGGTGAAGAAAATGGGCAAGGTGTTCTTTCACCGTAGCTTGAAGACGTTTCTCTTCCTGGGGCAAGGGTATGTCACACTGACTCCAGAACCTCCAAAACTCCAAGACAACCCAAATCAACGTCCCAGAACGGGCTCATGGGAAACCGGGACCAAGCCACAGAGTTTCGGCGGGCGGGTGCAATGTTACATTGCACCCCCCGCCGAAACTCTGTGTTTTTTGTTGGTCACAACCTTTGGTCTCACTTTGAACACTATCCACATCCAGCCAACTCCTTCCATTTGCTCCAGTTGGAACAAATGAACATATGTCCAGTGATACTGTGGACGGACGAAATCCTGCACCACCTCAGAAAACTGGAAGGATGATTCCCCTATGAATACCAACAAACAATGGTTTTCCACGGTTTCAAACTGGTGCGACATGGAATTCGCAACCATCCCCAGTCCATCTCCCAGGATTCGGGGGTTCGACTCGCGGCCCTCCCGGAATCGCCGCCTTCCGGAGGCCATAGCGGCCAGCACCTGGATATCTAAGCCCTGGGAAGCTGAAGTTGGGGCGGCGAAATCCATATGTCGCACCTGAGAAATCCACACATCGCCAGGGGCGTTGGTTAAACAAAAAAAACACGCCAGGGGTATTGAGGAGAATCCTCCGAAACCAGGGTTTCTTAGGTGCGAAATGGATTTCGCAGCCATCCATAATATGTTGGACCCCTTTTGGATACACTGCTGGTAGACATGGCACCCCAAGATCTGTCCATGATTGAGGCCGTTTTTTCGCGCGGATCGGTGCGGTCGCTTAAAGAAGATGCCCAGAAGGATTGCTCCAACACCCCTAGTTGTTCGGGAAAATTGGGTTGTCCCCCCTTCTCTTGCCTAAAAAGAGGTAGGAGGTTGATCCCAAAGGGAAGCCGGACCAAAGATCAACGTATACTGTACCCTGTGGCTGCACAGACCCCTTTTGGAAGACTACACCTTTCATGTTGGGAGGGTTCATTTGAACTAAGGGGCATGGGGCCCAGTTCGGAAAACGCTCCTTCAAAAGGAGCAACGCCAAGAATTTGGGTTTGTTGGGTAGTAGAAACATCTGCCCAAAAGCATGACAATCAATTGAACGGGCTTCTTACCGCACCTATTTATGGCGGGGACTGTCGCCTTACTAAGCTAGCGAGGATTTGATTGCGCTTCAGAACTCCGTCCAGCTCCTTGGATGTTCAACCTGCATGCCAAGTGGTTTAAAACCCATGGCTATCACTGGGGGTGACAGGGGTTAGTTCCCTTGCAACCATAGTAATAAGCCACTTTGCTGTGCATACTCAGACGCCCACTGGCCACGGGGCTCTGGTTGGTTGAGTTCAAACGGAAATCCTTCGCAACAAACAGTTGCAAGGCTCTACTGGGCAACTGGGCACGTAATCCAGTCAGTAGCAAGTAAACATTCATGGTTTCACTGGTCTTGGTTCAGCCTTACCATCGGGTTATACGCCACTTCTCCCTTTTGTGTTTTCCCCATGGGACCACTGGCCATGGGCCCAGTAGCCCTCGCTGGGCACCCGGCCATGGATGAAACCCGCCGTTCCTCGCCGGCCCCGGAGATGCAATGCCGACAAAGCCGACCTCGGGGTGTCGCCAAAGGAGGTTTGGGCATTGCCGGGCCAAAGATATGGCAGTCCGTTGGGTTTCCCTTAAGCCTCCAAAAAAGACAGCCAGCCGGGGTTCCAACCCCGAAGGAGGGCCGTTTTGGAGGACAGGGGCAAGTTTGACCCAGCTTTGGGCGACCAGCGGGAGTTCAAATCCACCATCCATGGGCTTGGTGACACTGTTGCCTGATTCAACGTACACAGATGCCCGCTTCCAACAAACATGACTTGTGCAAGGCGATCGCCCTTGACAAAGACATCTTGCCCATCCAAATGCGGAGTCTCGATTCACTTTAGGACCATCAACATTAAAGTGACATCCTCAAGGGGCTAGTCCGGGGAACCCGGCGCGCATCCTCCACCAGGGATACAGCTATGGCCTCGTCTTCGGCGCCCTCCTGGCTCAGACCTTGAGGGCAAAAACCGGCTTGGCCTTTACGACATGGCCCAAAATACAACCACTTTCGCATTACCTCCATTTGAAAAAAAAAGAAGAAAATATTTCCAGTAGTCATAGATTGCCTTTCAATCCAACAGGGGAAAAAAAAGCTCAGGTGATATCCCCAACAGCATGCGGTGCTCTTTTTAGTGCTCGCACCACCCCGCAGCCCTCGCAGAACCTCGTGCAACCCTCGTGGAACCCTGGTGGAACCTTACCTGAGGGCCGCCCCGGACCACCCCAGAGCCTGTCTGGGCTGAGACCCCAAAGCTTTTCAGCTGTTGGGGAATAAAAAGACTATTCTTAAGTAAATGGAAGAACTACTTTCTACTTATCCTTCCTAGGTCCTCCAGTAGAGAGGTTAGAATAAGGGTACCAACTTTTGCTGTAGTCTATTTTAGTAGGGGAACCTCCCCCAAAAAAGGGTAAACGGGCACTACTGGGGGACCTAGCCTTCCTCCCACCCACACATGGCATCTGTGAAAAAGTAGCTGGAAGATCAAGTTCTTCAACGGACCCCCTGTCAGACGCCATACTTGTGGGGAGGCAGGGTACCAGAAAGGTGATGTTTGCTCCACCGACAAAAAGGGACAAAAACTCAGACATGCTTGATTTGGGCATGTGTCAAAAGAGGGAGACCCCATATGTTGTCGTCTTCCGGTTGGTTTCCCGCAAAACACACCCAAACTGGACAACCTCAAACACACAAGCCCATTGTGAGTTCAAAGTTTCGGCCAGGGTTGAAAAGGAAGGATCCCAAGAGGTTGCAAAATCGTAAATGCCAAACCACAGCAAGATGGGATCCTCCTTGGATGTTCAACCCACAGAGTATGTGACCCGCTCAGTAATTTGCCAACCATGATTAGAAGGAAACATCCCGAAACATCCCCTGTTATAACTTATTGCTCGGTATATATTATGCTGGCCAAGTGGGTTGAACATCCAAATAGTGTCACATTGTCCGAGTCTGACTAACGATACAAGTACATCTCAAAGACAGAGCCTGGTGGTCACCACTGGTGGTGCAATAGAAGCCAAGATCTGACCCCGTGAGGCCATTCTGCATTCTGCAGTGTGCAACATGTACAAGCATGGCTTGAACACGCACCGATATCCAGAGTACTTGAAAACTAAGAGGAACCTTTGACTTGGTCTGACACACTATGAGGTTGATGCTAATCTCTTCACACCAGTACAGGTGTCTTTTGATTATAGCACACAACATAAGGGGCCAAAACAATGGCAAGCACGCGATTCTCATATATGATAATGGACAAATTTGGTTTTGACGTAAACCCCCGGTACCATGATTCTAGGGGTAACTTCCCCATTCTTTCTAGGGAACCTTCTAGAAAACCATCTTTAAGACCCTGGGGAAACGGATCCGGTTTTTGAAAAGAAGGATGGCAGAAAACATGGAATTGGAATCAACCCCTAGAATGATGCTTGCAGTATCCAAAGCCTGGGTGAGAGGCCATTGCAGCTTTGCTCCATGAGCTCAAGAATGGCCACCTCTCCCTCGCTCCAACCTGAAGCGAAGAAGCCACTGCAAGCCGCGGGCCCATGTCCACAAAAAGTCATTTGGCTGTGGTTGTCAAAACCAATGGTAAGCCCATTTTGGGATAGGTGCACCACCCATTTTAGAACCGATTTTAGTGGGGATTGGGATGTTCACTGGGGCTACGGGGTTTTGACCCATGGCCATTTGAAGAACGTCTCTTGCACTCAGGCAATCCACTACATGCCAACGAATGATTCGCTCAGGCGCACGCGGTCCATCAAGTTGCGCAATGTCACCACGGCCATGGTGTGAAAAGTGCGGTAGCTAAAATTGGTCCGGCGATGTCAAAAAGCAGCGCTCCAAAGGGAACTTGAAGTTTATTCCAACTTTTTGTTCTTGCCCAAAAAAAAATGAAGGTCAAAATAATTCGAGGACTTCATTCCAAACTCACAAGTCACGCGCCGGAAGGTCTAACGAGTCTGAAGAGCGGCGAAAATGCCGAGAACACAACTGGGTGGCGGGGAGGGTGCAGCAGGGCCCCGGGGTTGCTTGACGCATTGCGAATACATTGACATGCATAATATGTACACAATATGTAGGTATGTAGGTATGTAGGTATGTTATGGGTATGCATGTATGCATGGATGTATGTACGTATGTATGTATGCACGTCTAGATGTTAATATCAGTTCATATACTGAAACACACACTCATACCATCCTGAAGTACATTGTATATTTAATGCCATTCATCAACGACGTGAACAAGGCTTCAACATGAGGAAAATCACACCAGAATGCCCCCTGCCCTGCCAGGGAAGGGGTACAATTCTCTCAATCTCCTGGTGTTTGTCTCACCGCATCGTGCTAGATGGTTTGCCAGCTTGTTGGGAAACAAACCTCGGTTGCATTCTGCTCCCGTGCTAAAAGTTTAACTTTTAGTGGTTCAACGGAAAACCCACTATATAGTTGGCAAAAAGTTAAAGTCCTCACATCCAAGCAAAATGCCCCGAAGAAACATTGTCGAAGTAGTTGGGCGAATGGGGTGACAATGAAAATGGTCGGCTTCCTCTTGCTGTCCTTCAAAAACCAACCAACAGGGGGTTGTCGAACCCAACAAGCAGCTCAACATGGTTACCGTCCTCAAGTCTCGACTGACCAGCCTGCACAATCAACAATAACGCATCCTCTTTTGGTTTTCTTGTGGCAAAACCAAACATGGGCCATTCCTTGCTTGCTGTTGACCCCTCTGCAAAAAGTTTAACTTTTTGTGGGTTTAATGCGGAAAACCCCTTGATTTCCCAAAAAGTTCAAGTCGAAAGATCCAACCCAATAGCAGTAGAGAAATTCAATCCCGGTGAACTGCCGCAAAAAACACAAAAATATCACGCTGCATGTCCAGGAAGGTCCGTAAAAATGGCAGTGCGGAAAACTGGCGCCACGAAACTCCTCGGTTGCGAAATCTGCTCCCCTGCCACAAGTGAATAACTGTTAGTGGTTTAATGGGGAAAACCCATGAGTTGGCATAAAGTTCTTCAGTCCTAACATCCAAGCAAAACGCGCCAAAGCAACAACTGGATTCTCGCCTCTCATCCACAAAGCGACACGGGGAGCTTTTCACCGCTCCGGCCGATCGATGTGCGCCCAGGGCGTCTTACCTTTTGAGAACAGCAGTTCGCCCACCGAAGAGGACGGGGAAGCAATTCAATCAACAATACACTGAGCTTGCACTCTAAGCAAAAGGAGCCTTCAAGGAATGTCACACATTTCAAATCTCTTCCGAGGGCACTTGCTCTATCTGTGTCTGCTTGTTCCCAAGCTAGAGGCTGTTTGCCTACGGCTAGACAGCAGATAACCATCTTGACTCGATGTCGTACAAATCGATCGTCCTCATCTTAAAATCTTAGTCCTGCAAAATGCGAAGTCAAGACTTAGGATGATCGACTGCGTATGGAAACGATCCCGACGATCCCGAGCAACTTCCATTGCGAAGCACTGGTCTCAGCTTTGGGGCATGGTGTCACCAGGTGAGGGTCCTTTAAAGTTTTGAGATCAGCGTCTTTGTTGAAGAACCTTTAAAGTTTAAAGGTTCTTACAAAAAACTCTGATCTCCACCCATGGCTTGGCTTGGACTCAACCCCTCAGCTTCGCCAGCGGCGAGGGCTTCACATTCGCGTGCTCAGCTCGGTGAGGGCTTCACTCGAGGGGTTCCTGGCTGGAAGCTTTCTTGGATCCCACGGCCAAGTGGCTGGGGTCTGCTTTTGAGGGTACCACAGTTGGTGGGTTTGAAGGGAAACCAAAAAGAAAGCCAAAGCCTAGGCCCTCCAGTAAAGAGGTTAGAATAAGGGTACCCAATTTTTTGTGTAGTCATTTTTAGTAGAACCCTCCCTCAAAAAAGGATAAAAGGGCACTACTGGGGGACCTAGAAAGCCATTTTGGGGGACCCCTTAAAAACAGACACACCCAAGTGGGCCATCATGGTAACTATAGGGGCAACTGCTGGTTCGTTCCTTATGGCTGCACCTAGTTGCCAGGTTGAGCATCTAAGTCGCCAAACGAGGTTGCCAGTGGAGAAACTGTCAATTCTCAAACAAACCTGCGACTTTGGGTAAACCAAGGAGCAACCAACCTGTACGTCGCAAAACTAGCAACTCAAAGTTGATCAAGCGCTCCTTTACGTGGCACAACCACTAGGGACAACCACCACAAAGAATTGACTTTCCGACTAAGTGGGACAAGTTACCCATAGTTCTTTGGGGACCAGGAATATTGATCAACCCCAAAGTGAACTCTGCGATAGATTCTGAAGAACTGCTCCCCCTTACGTTGAAGCAATTGCCAACCTACTTGGCTAGCGCACACACACACACACTTCCAATGACCCAGCATACCCAGGTTGCTTTCTGCTCTGCTAAAAAGGAATAGCTTTTAGTGGTTTAATGGAAAACCCATGAGTTGGCAAAAAGTTAAAGTCCTAACATCCAAGCAAAATGCCCCAAAGTACCTTTTGAGCATACCCGAAATCCCTGTGCAAGGATTCCTCACAAGTATGTCGGCTCATTTGTGCCCCATGATTGCATGTGGTTCCGGTCATCTACGTAGTCTATGCATGTTCCAGGATCAAGACTCCAGTGGATCATGGTCATGGCTCCTGTAGAAACCCTTAGCAGATTCATCCGGACTGTACTAGTCAGAGGTGTTTCTGGGGAAATGACATGTTCGGGGCCCATCTGAGTCAATCAAATCCTTTATTAAAATGGCCGTACTCCCAGAACCATGTAAAGAATTAAGAAGGCGGATATCCGCAGCTATTTCTGGCTAAGAATTGTCCCTGACTTTCATCTACCCGGGATTTGAGCACGTGGCCCATCCGAAGTGTTGAGGGACTTCCGCGCGTTTTTTGTTCTTTTTTCCGAGGCCTCGAAGAAGTAGCGGCCGGTGGATTCTTGCCAAAACCACCGCTGACCTGGCCACAGAGACCATGGAGGTTTTCAGGGACCATGGAGGGGGTCTGAATGTTGCCACAGGGGTGTCGTTTTTGGAGGGTACCCCCCCCCCCCCCGTTTTGGGGCTTTTAAAGGAACACCACCATTTCTTGGGGGCCGGGTCCTCTAAGAACGAAACGACACACCCATAATCCAGCTGGGGACACTTAAGGGGTCGCTCAGTGTTTGAAATATGATGACCTTGTCCCCATTCTCATCTTCACCACCGTCCATGCCACCAACGTTCAGTGCTAGGCAGTTGACTTTGATACTCCCAAACAACGGCTTCCCCAAGCAAGCAGGGCAGGATCTAGTGTATCAGCTTCCCTCCATAAACATAAACCAGTCAAAACTGGGGGACCCCCCCAAAAAAATGTGGGAAGTCTTTGCGGTCAAAACTGGGGAACCCCGTAAACACGGTTTTTCTTTGATTCAGTTGGCTTCCCAAGAAAAGCTACCCTTGACACAGAGAACCACAGTGCCAGCTCAAAACCAGCACTGCATCCAACTGGTGGTTTCCTAGACCAAAGGCCTGGGCTCATTCCCACATTCCCTTCTTATCGCTCCAAGAATACTGCTCCGGAAACAAGACCTTTGGATGCCCTTGTTGTTTCGCGCTCGTTTAGAAATCGTTTAGCAATCCGCTGGCAAGGTTTCAAGGTCGACTCATCACGCAAAACACAGCCCGGTGCCAAACCACTCAATCTGATCGCAAAACTGAGCAAAGTTCAAAGGCGAACTGCTAACTCTTACTAGTTCCCGGCTGACTCTGGTAGAAAGAGGGAACACATTTTCGGGCTGACCAATTTCAGCCCTTGGGAGCTCAGACGCCATGCCTGTCTCACAAGGCCATACAAGCTGCCCAGGCCAGCGGAACGGCAAGCACATGCCTTCAAAACCATCTTGCTTGCAAAAATGGCTCTGCGTGCGCGATTGAACACTAGAGACAGCTGTGGGGATGCTTTGATCCGAAAACATCCAGGCCCCCGTTTGGCATAAAAGCGCCTTAAGCTCCGAACCAAGCGCGGCCATGGAGAGCTTGGTCGACCTTCAACCTTAAACCCAGGATCTATACAAATAAATATATATGTAAATGTCTACTCGGTTGCGAAATCTGCTCTGCTAAAAGTCTAATTCACTTTTCGTCGTTTACTGGGGGAAAAACATGAGTTGGCAAAAAGCTAAAGTCCTAACATCCAAGCAAAATGCCCCAAAGTGTGTATATATATATATGTCACGTGTTCATGGTGTCAATCAAAGGGAAATATGTAAGATGCTGCCAAACCTCGTCCCAGGTTGCAGAAAAGACAGTGGTGCCGTGCCTTCCTCTGTCAAGAAGTCCTGCCATCCGTCTTCTAGATCGTCAGCGTACAGGACCTCACGTGAGCATGTGGCACCCGCGTCTTCGAAGACGCTCACCCTGCGACACATGCAGGGTGCGGCTTTCTCACCTTGAAAGTCAAAGCACAATTGCACAGGGGAAGTCACACACAGAAACCAACAAGCATAGACATACAGTTGCCAGGCACTCAATGCAAACTTGCGCAACCAACACGCAGCACATTGCACAATTCACACAAAACTGGCCCGTACTGCCTCAGACAACTGGCTTTTTAACGTGGTGCCAGGGTCTGGCTGTTGAAACCAATTTTGCTCAAACCCTGACCCTCTGCTTGACTCTTTTTGCAAAACGAACGACGCGCACACTCATGCCTCGCCTTTTTCGGGATCTCGAATGTGTCGCGTCTGGTATGTGATCTAGCCCAACCAAAACTCCTCACAAGAAGAGTGTCTCGGCGCTAGGCAAGACGCAACGCGCAAAGCTTAGACGCAACGCGCATGCTCCCATCTCTTCTCCAACAAGAACTTGACTGGGCGTCCCTTCAACAGGAAACTGGTCTAGGTTCTCCAGTAGAGAGGTTAACAAAAGGGTGCTAACTTTTTTCTGTAGTCTACTTTAGTAAGGGTTTTCCCTCCCAACCAAAAAGGGGTGAGAGGTCGGGCACCTAGCTGGGGACCTAGTGGTCAAAGCTCAGGTCCTCTGGAAGAGATGCTGGGCGCTGGGAAGTGCGTGGGCATTTTGCCCCTTCCCCCAAACTGAGCCACAGGCACGAGCGCGCGACTCAGGGATACAAACATCTCCGTTTCATTATCAAACCATGTGAGCCACAGAATGCAACTCCGAAGAGCCCTCAGGAGTCGTCTCAAAACTCACTCGCCAAGCCAGCTTCTTTTGTGGCGCGCAATGTTCAGTTGTCCTGACTCGTGGGAACCCAGACCCTATGCAACAAACATGGCGGCCCACGTTGAATTCTTCTTGCCCAGCCCAAACCCCAGAAACAAGTCTAGGGGCCTTGGGTTTTGGAGTCGAAGTGTCCGGGGAGGGAACCGAGGATCAACTTGATGGGTCTGTCGCTTTTTGGCCAGGCACCTCCTGTCCAAAAGGAAATCAAAGAACAGAGCCCTCGGAAAAGAAGTCTTTTTCAACTTGGCCGGACTTAGCTTCCCCCCTGGAAAAGGCAAGCTTGTGAGCTGCTCAAAACATGAAGAAAAACCAAGGTTGCCGGGGCCAAAAAGTTTTGTCAAGCCTGGCACTCACTTGCCCCCAGACGCAGAAACAAAGAGGTTAACCTTTTAGGCCATGACGAAAAATGGGCCAAAACCGCGGAAACTCACAGGTCAACCGGTCGATTCGCCCCGCAGATTCGCTTTGGGCACTCGCCGTCTCAAACCCGTGGCTCATCCGCGTCGACGCGCCGTGGCCAATCTCGCCGCGTCCGCGCCCGGTGAAGGCTTTCGACTTCACGCGCCCTGTTTCTCCATGAGCTTCTGGTACTCCTGGCGTCAAGCTGGGTTTCCAGGACCCTGGACCACCTCAAACCATAAAGAACAAGAGGGATCAAAGGACATGTACATGTACATGTAAGACTAGGTCCTCTAGTAGAGAGGTTAGAATAAGGGTACCTTTTCTTTTTTCTGTAGTCTATTTTAGTAGGGGAACCCTCCCCAAACAAAGGGGAAAAGGGCACTACTGGGGGACCTAGAAAACCAGTTGGGAAAATTTGGTTGCACAAACCCGGGATTCAACATGGTCGAACAAGGGGTTGGCCGGTTGGCCTATGGATTGGTTGATCCTAGTAGTGTTGGATGCCGATTCCACCTGTGTGCTGAAAGAGTGTGACTATTGGGTTTGTCTCAAAATAGGGCACCCTGAAAACGCGTGGTTTCCCGTTGGTTTCCCTTTTAAACCACCCAAAAAAGGGGTACACAAACAATGGCGGGGTTGCTCCAAACACAGCAATAGAAGGTTGGTCTATGAAAAAAAGCCGAAGGAGCGCTATCCAAATGTCTGCTGGCTTGTTGGGTTTGGAGGTGAGCCCTGGGTGGAAGTCTACCGGCAGTCAACAAATGGAATCTGGAATCCCTCCAATCAAAGGCTGATTGTAGAGGCCCATATGTGAACCAAAAAGCCATGTTGCAACCTCGCGGCCTGATTTCCCATGGAATTTAGCTAAAACTAACTCAATTAATCCAAAACCAAATGTATGGACCTATACATTGAGCCTTTGATCCTATTGGGGAAATCCACTGCTGAATTCGGCATCGAACGTGTTGTCTCGACGGAGCCAGCCGAATCGATGCCTACAAACATTGGTGTGGGACCCACCCCAGAAAATCACGCCAGAAGTTGCGGGGTGTTTTGGGCTACCAAGCTAACATGGGCTTCCCCGGCATTTTCAAACCTCCACTTCGACGTAGGTTGTAACCATGGCAGGAGGATTGACCCCAACCCAGTTGCAACCATGCTCATAAGACCCGGGAAATTGGCCGAAGACCCACGAAAACCAAACCTTGTAGAATTTAAATTCCGCCGGCTTGTTTCATAGAATGGCAACTTTCCTGCGATGGAACCTGAGGGGTGCTGGACTGTTTTCCTTCCACATGGATGATGGGTTCCATGGCGTGTAGAGGATATAACCAAAACTTGAAGATTCAGGTGACCTTCTCCCATTTTCGCCTCAGGCGTCTTGAGGGACAGGGACAAGGCATGCAGGCGCCCACTGTCCAGGTCTTCTCCTAAGTTGGTCGGATTTGAAGAGCGCAACAATATACCCTCTGGAACTTGACGTTCGATACGTTCGGGTGTCCCTCTAGATCCCTCTAAAAGGAAAATGGTTTTCCAGGACCCCCCTGTCAGTTTCCATGCTAATCGGTGGGAGGGTACCAGGTCATGAAATTACAATACCCACCGATAATAACGTAATACAGCGAATAATGTATGTCAATGACGATAAAACTCGGTTTGCATGGACATGCACATATATGTTATCTCATACTAGGTCTATGCGTGTGCACATTTATATGATATCCATATACACACAGTAGCCATCCGCCCTATGTTGGCACTTCCGACGGCCCTCGGGTGAAAAACGCCCAAGTGGCAACCCATGATCAAGATATCCGCACATCCAGATGCTATTTTCCACCTATCCACCTATCCGAAGGCATCCAGCGAAAGAAAGCAGCAAAACGCTATGATGGAAAGAACCCACACCTTCTGACCTTCTGGTTGTCCCTGAACAAACGCACCCAATGGAGCGGTTTGCAGAAGAAAAAAAGCGCTCCCCGCCCGTTTTACGACAATTAGCACCATGCATCCACGGGGGCTCTGGAAAAATAACGGCGGATACAAATGCAAAGAAGCTTGCCAAAGGGTAAGTCAATGAAACCTAGCCAATGTTCTACCCTGGTGTTTTGGTCACTAGACAAGAGACACAACAGGACCCACTACTCCATTGCCAAAGCCATGTTTTGGTCATCCCCTAAAAGCTCGGAGCAGCGTTTCTTGATCAAAATCCTATTTGAAGATCCCGAGGCAGGTTGATAAATGTATGATTCCCAAATCAGGATCGGGTAGCTGTTTCAGCTGCAACCCGTAATTGGCATGGGGAAGCAGGGTAACATGGGTAACCCCAAAAAGAGGAACCAAGGGACCCGGCCCCGATTTGGACACAACCAGTTCTCAAGTTCATTTGTTGACTTGCAAGACATCTCGATGGCTTCCTTTCTGTTGTGCCTTCAAAACCAAACAAGGTACGTCAAGATTGGAGTTGCGGCACACGGCACCAGGGTTCAAAGGGTCACAACTTTCCAGCACTTGTGTCAAAATAGGTAAACCCCAAAATGGGCGGTTTCCCTTTGGCGTCCCTTCAAAAAACAAAGAACCATGAAGGGTGTCCAAACATACACACGCCACCCCATGTGGTCCGAAACGCTTTTGTTGTCTCTTGAGGACTGCCCCAGAATGGATGGTTTTGGTGTCCTCAAGTCAAATCATCTCTCTAACAGCCCTGAGCCCCAGGCGCAACATGGCTTGGATCTCCCGCTGGCGGTTGATGCGGGGCTTGCCGCCTTGTGAAAACCCCGGAGGGGTTGTCCCAGTGCTTCCAGGCAACACACCAATGTCAACTCCATATTCATCAATCCCAGTTTATTCATATGGGAGTGTGCCGCATGCCCCTCCAAAAGTGATACATCTCCAGTAAAACCTGGGACGCCCCCCATATGCATAAACTGGGGTTGATTAATCTGGGGTCAACAATGGGGACGCCCTCGGAGGACCTGGCTTGAAGAGAAACCGTTTGGGACCCGCAGCTCGTTTGAGTCAGCCAGAGGCTGACTCAAAGACAAGTGTTCCAACCTCATCTGGGCAAGTTGCCATTCCTGCGACGTGCTCCGTCAGACAGAACTGGTTGGGTCCGTCTGGTGCGTCTGGTTTTTGTTCAGGTGCATATATTCCTTCAAGATCTGCTCAGTTTCCGTCGTCCCCCTATGTAGACCCATCAGCCGCTTTGGGCTGCCCCCAAGAAAGAAACCTTCCCATTGAACTATGTCATGACCTCGTAATCATTTGCCCCGACTATAGGTACCCAAGCGCTTTTACTCGGGGGTGTGTTTAATTGGAGGTGGGTGCCGACTGGGGCTAGCGAGAAACTCCCCCCATTGCCAGCTGCTTTCGCGGACTCCCCTGTCAAGCAGGCGGGTTTCGGACGCATCCTGTAAAGAACCCTTGTTAAAGGGTAGTACGGGTGTCTCTTAGTTTAGGGGTACCGGTGTCCCCTTTGACTTTGCTTTAAACAAAATCCAAGAAGGGTACCCTCAAAAAGCCCAGTACAAAATCACGCGTTGAAATGTTGCAAAACGCAACGTGGGTCTGTCAAGATTTGTGCAGTTGCTTTTTTCACAGACTGGGTGTTGGGAGGCACCCTATTTTTGAGCCGCAGAATTGCACATGGAGGAGAAACAACTTAGGCCATATTCCGAAAGGCCTTACACTAAATGCTCAGCAGGTAGTTTGCGGCTACAACAAAAAAATA